ATACAAAAGGTAATCTGTGATAAAGGATCAGTTACTTGTGATTTGATAGAATCATCATGTCCTCCTTTTCCTTGTGTCTTAGCATCTGTGTCTACGGAGGGGGGGATAGAAGAGGACAGATCAACCTGGTGAAGAGCGGCGTGGATATCGTGATCGCTACACCTGGCCGACTCAATGACTTACAGATGAACGATCTCATCAATCTACGCTCCATCACCTACTTGGTCAGTTTTTATTTCAGTTTTTTTTTCCAACATTTGCAGTACAGAATGCAGTCGCCTCTTTCTTTTAGATTATTGTGTCCTTTTTTAAAAAAAAGGAACCTGAAAAGGTTTAAATCTTAACTTTCATCTACTTTTACATGCCATTTGGAAAAGTTTTGATACTGAAGTGATTGTTGGGTTGGGGGGGAGGTGCTGGACGAGGCTGACCGCATGCTCGACATGGGCTTTGAACCGCAGATTCTGAAAATTATGCTGGACATCCGTCCAGACCGGCAGACTGTCATGACCAGGTATACCTCAGTTTTTAATTGTAGTAGGGAGATTAGTGCTTAATCCAATGCTAAGAAGTTAGGGTAGTTCTTGAGGAGTTGGCCAAAAATTACTCTCCTGAAGTAATCTGTGTTTATGAACATGAAAATGTTTCATTATGGCTGAAAAGAAGTTGGATTTTGAGAAGCATCAAATATAATTTAATAAGACATTTAAGGATATTTCTAACAATAGAAAGTAATGTAAAGAATCATCTTACTACTTATTCTTAGCTATCTGCAAATATTCCTCCTGGTGTTTCAGTTTCCTTCCTGAGAATATGTCAAATGTATGATGTAAAAGACTAAAAACTGAACTGCTGTTGTTGGCTTCATGTTTCAGTGCCACCTGGCCCACAGGTGTAAGAAGATTGGCTAAATCCTACTTAAAGAATCCCATGATGGTTTATGTGGGAACTCTGGACTTGGCTGTAAGAGGAAGTGAAAACATTCTGTTTGTACTTCACTTTTATTTCTTCTTCTTTTTTCCCCCTGTGCTTCATGCTTTGTGTTTTTCCATCTGTGCATCAGGCAGTAAACACAGTGGAGCAGACCTTAGAGATTGTTAAGGAGGAGGAGAAAAAGATGTATGTTTTTGACTTCATCAGGAACATGCAACCCCAGGATAAAGTCTTAATCTTTGTGGGAAAGAAGATTACGTGAGTGAGGCGATGACCACTGCTTTTAAAAGATGAGCCCCACCTACTGTTGGAACCTGCACCTACTGTGTGCCCTGTGTGTTTGTGTTTCTGTGACACCAGTGCAGACGACCTGTCCAGTGACATGTCTCTGCAAGGTATTCCTGTGCAGTGTCTCCACGGAAACCGCGAGCAAAGCTCCCGAGAAGAGGCTCTCCAGGACTTTAAGGACAGTATGTCAGAAAAACGTCATTTATTCATTTTAAACAATTAAAAATCCTAAATTTGTTTGATTAAAATGCCTTAAATAAAATTTAAATAACGTCCGTTGGCATTAAATATGTTAATTACTGGTCTTAAATTACTAGTTTTAAAAAACCAAAACTTTTTTTATGGGAATTTTCTGTACACTTTTGTTGCATTCTGTGATTCAGTTACTACAATCACAAAACTCAGTAATTATCTGCTAATTCTAGCCTTTCCTTTTTTGCTTTTTCATGGGCACAAAGCTGAGTTCACGGTGTTTTCTGTGCTTAATTGTAATTCTATAAGTTTTCTCAAACATCCCCTATATTTATAGTTTTTGTTTTTTCTGACATAAATTTCATTCAGGGTGACACTTAATCGGTCTTAAATTAGACGTATTTTAAATAGATTTGATAAATACTCTGTTCAATAAGACGTTTTTTCCCTCAAACCAGTCATTTCTGAAAGCAATTTGTTGCACTGGATTCTATTTCGTGCCAGTGTTTCCCAAACCTGGTCCTTCAGGCTGTCCTGCATGTTGTAGATGTTTCCCTGCTTTAATGCACTTGATTCAGCTCATTGCAGTTCAACAATCGCCTGTTAATCTGCCATCAATTGAAATCAGCTTGGCTGAAGCAAGGAAACACTGTAGACATGCAGGGCAGTGTGCCTTGAAGACCAGGGTCGGGAAAACACTGATTTTGGGAGGTTAAAGTAATGGAGCATAACATTATAACATTACAATACAATGTTTAGGTTTTTACTTCGAAAAGGCATGTACCATTTCTTTCCACTTCCCAATTAAGGAACTGCTGGTCTACCACATCAATTAACAATAAAGTACATTGCGTTTTGCTAGACTTTTTTACCCAGAATGCCCTGTGTTATAGTCCGCTTCCTGCTTTTAGGGTGGTTTCCAATCCGCTTTGAATTTACATAAAAATTCAAACTTCACCAGAGTTTGCTTTTTTTGTTCCCTGTCAGAGTTGGGTTGCACATTCAGACCTCCCCAAACAAACCAAACTTTTTCGGCAAACCAGAGTTCAATTAAAGCGGACTGGACTGGGCTGGCGTTAATACACACTTAATGTTTGTTATTGTGTTCACTTTTCTAGGTCGGGTTCGCATTCTGGTCGCCACAGATCTGGCTTCCAGAGGGTTGGATGTCCATGACATCACGCATGTTTTTAACTATGACTTCCCAAGAAACATCGAAGAGTACGTCCATCGTGTGGGTCGAACAGGTCGAGCAGGGTAAGAGATTAACTGTCTTCATGTGGGCCCTTTGGCTTAACTCTGGGTTAGTTGTGACCCAGATGCATTTTTATTCCAGACGATCCGGTGCTGCCATTACTCTGTTAACTAGAGATAACTGGAGGATGGCCTCAGAGCTGATTTCTATCCTGGAGAGAGCAGGACAAGTAAATATTTGCAAATTATTTATCAGAAGGTTTAAATGGAAAATATCAATAGTGAAAAGTTTTGTACTAAACATTGATTAGTAAATGTATGTATTTCAGTCAAAAAAGGAAGGCTATTCAATTACATTGATGTAACTCACTTGTAATAATATGAAATCTAAATTGTATATGCAACATTTAAGGGAGGGCATTAACAATGCTGACATTTAGTGTAGTACCTGAATGTGTAAATGTTAGGTAGCAACCCATATTACATGAGAATGTTGTTTCAGGACGTCCCAGAAGACTTGGTGCTGATGGCAGAGAGATACGAGAAGCACAAGATGGAGAGAGAGATGTACTCTCCAAGAGGACATGGATGGGGTGGAGGCGGTGGACGGAGAGACGGCAAAGACAGAAGCCAAAACTGGCGATTCTGATCTCTGGTGATGTAAGTTTGCACACTCTCTAAAGCTCAGATCCAGTCCTCAAAAGCTGCCATCCTGCAACTTTCAGCTGCTTCCCTGCTCCAACACACCTGAATCAAACGAATGGCTCGTTTCCTGAGCTGATCCCAGTCTGTTGGAGTAAGGATGTATCTTGAAAGTTGCAAGATGGTATCTCTCCAGGACTGAAAGTGAACACCCGGCCTCTAAAACAAGCACATGAATAGGATTATGTAGTTTTACGATATTTACCTCTTTTTTTTTTTTTTCCTCAAAAAGTATCAATTTTTTATCCGTGAGTATCGATACAAAGTACAATACATTAAATCGGACTTTTTTGAGTTTTATGTCAGATCCACATGAATGAAATGACAGCTATCACACATGACATTTTTTACCCAATTGCACATGCACATTAAAAACTGTCATGCAGTGAAAGAACCATTTACAATTAATCAAGTAGTAAAATGAAATAGACAAATGACCTTTTCTGAATAGTCAAATACACAAAGTAATGTATAACAAAAACATTGATTACACCAGCAGTTCAATTAACTCAGTCCAAGTCTACGTCACCAAAATCACTGTCCCTCTAAAATCTGTCAAAAAATCATAAAAATGTATCGAATTATATAAATTTGCTGAGTATTGTGATATATATTATTTTGCAAGCAGAAAATCGCATATTGTATCGTTAGATTAGTGCATTGCTACAGCCATACATGTGACTATTGCAGTAAGGCTGGAGCTGCACCAAAAATAAAACCATTTTTGGGAAGTTGTTGTAATTTCAAGCTAACCTTCACACATACATGTGTGAAAATGTCACCACATCCCCTCTAACAACACTAAATGCTCTGTTGTTAAGAGTCTTAACGATATTTTTATCAGAAAAGAAAACTAACTTTATGTGAAAAAATTTTATAACGCAAGAGAAAAATACATTGTCATGCAGCACTAAATGATTGGGATTGGTGAACGTCAATAAAAATGTGACGCACAGACTACTAATAAAAACAGAAAATAATGAAAATGTATTTTTGTGTTTCTTTGGAAATGTGACATTTTGTTTTTCTTCTTTCTCAGCAGGTTGGAATACAGTCTAACGCTGGCTGTTATTTCTTTTGATTGTACATAAGTTTTTATTTTTTGCTTAAAATTTATTTTAAAAAAAAATCATCTGTTTTGTTTGCCAGGTGGACGTCATTATTGTTTTTCATAGAAGTTTAAAGCTTAACAGAATGCACTGTTCTTAGTCCAGTGTTTGTTTTCTTTCTGCATCATTGCCTTGTTTACAGAGACTGAATGTGTGTGGGTCTTTTGTGGGGTGAAACATGTTAAATAAATTCTCTTTTTGAAGAGACACCCTGTCCAGTGTGCATCTTTATAGTAAGTTGTTCAAGAAAAAAAAACTCACTTAAAGGTTGAAGTTTTCTCTAATTGTAAAGGAAATTAAAAAATGTTTATACCAAACGCAAAAGTTAGATTTCAGTTCACTATTAATCACAGCATGAAGGCTCTCTTGCAGTGTGGAGAGTAACCAATTATGTAATTGCCTTCCAACACTTATGCAAGTCGAGCACTAAATGCTGTGAACGTCATGAAGTCACTGCATGTTATATGTAATAACATTCTGTGATTCAGTAGCTGTGATGATTATTTTGTGTGAGTAATTCCTCACAGCCTTATAAATGATTACCAGGAAATTAAGACCAAAAAAGTTTCTGTTTTGCTCATTTATTTAACCTGTTTGGCAGGTGAGTTTTATTCCAGTACATTGCTTAGCATTTCTCTGCAACGAAAGTGAATCAGAACCAATCTGGTACGATTGGGGGAAAAGAAATCAACAGGCAGACAACTAATGCTCGTATCAACAGATTTTGTTGGGGACACTGTAGTAGCTTAGTCTGGTGATTATAAATATATTTCATTCAAATGTTAATAAACCCCTTAACCGTTATTATATTAAAAGTAGATCTGTGTCATTTAAAAATAACCACTGATTGTAAATGTGTTTATATAGTGTTTCTTAAGAAGACATTTTTGAATTAGTGGAAACAATAGATCCAACTCTTATAAATAAAAATAAAAAAATAATAATTTACAGTTGATAAATAAAAATAAAAAAATTATAATTTGCAGTTGTTTTTTTTATACAGGAAGTAAACCTGTGAAATCTCTCAACGCTCATGATTTGACATGAACGTTGCGCTTGGGATCAGAATTCCCCAATCTAACGCTTAACATGGATTTTGAGGATCTCTCTGGAAGATGGGGAAGCCGTTTTCTCGTTGCTCCTTGACGCAGTCTGCCAAAAGCTTGCAGTGGGTTTTCGGCAGACCAGAGAGAAGGTTCTGACTGGGGATGAAGAAGTTGTTGAGTTCACCACTTCTCAGGTGGCTCTCGAAGTCCTGAAGGAGCAGGTCGAAGCACCGACTGAGGTCCGACGCTCCCCAGTCGCTGTCTCTGGTTCTGGAGCAGCAGGCGTGGAGGAGCGTCGTCTTGGCAAGGTAGGAGCAGAACTTGGCAAATGAAGGGTTACTTTCCTTCAGCAGCTGCAGGAGATGCTTCAGGAGCTTCAGACAGTCTTTTCTGGATAAAAAGAAAAAACTTCAATAAACACACTGGAGAATTGATAAAGAACTGAAAAAAAAGTTTGCAGTAATGAATCCCACGTGATTAAAAAAACGTTATCAGAGGATCTGGATTGGAAAAAACATCTGGTTGTATCTTTTGCCAAGGTTGTCTTTATTTCTGTAATTATGTTAATGATTACATAAAAAAAAAACTTTAGTGTTTGCAAAAAATGCATAAGCAGTCTTGCCTGCAGCAACTGGCTCCCTCTCTTTCACAGCATGTCTTCTCCGATCCATGATTCTTTATAATATCCTTCTCGATGTGAGAAAACGAAACCCGCCAGGCATCTGTGACGGAAAGACAAAACAGTCTTAGCTGCAGTTGTCTAATAAGATAACATGTAAACTCTTTAGCTGCTGGTGGAATCTATCTCCGACTGATGTCAGTATTTTCCTTTTTCTTTTGCAAATCTTGTATTAGACATTCCTAATCCTCTTTTTGAACAGTTGGGTCGCTCGGTTGCACTCACCTTTGTTAAGAACGCCATCGTTTTCCTCGGTGCCCCTGCCTTTGTATTTCGGCACGAGGTAGTAAGGTTCCCTCTTGTACCCCTGTTTGACTTTAGTCCCAAGCCACTGTTCAATTTTCAAACCATCCCTGGTAAAAGCCGGCCAGCTTGATTTCACTTTGAGAGAGAGAACAACATCCAGGGAAATGATGACTGAGCCCACTTTATGGGTCAAGGTCACTGCAGGACAGCCTACCATTTTCCTCTCAATCGTCCATGCTGAAGGAAGAATGAGATGTTTCATTACAAATTGATCACTGGTTTATATTCACCCCCCACCGCCCCAAAATACATGTAATTACTGGAAATGTAATATTTTCATGCCTTCTTATCACATGCCATAATTTCTGTAAGATTTGATTTAATTTGACATAAAAAGCAAACACAACAAAGCAACAAGTTGGGCACTAACCTGAAAATCCCTTGGCAAATTTCTCCACTTCTTTTCTGAACTCTTGAAGCATTTTGCTTGCAGATAAGATGTTATTTTGCTGGAATTTCATTAAAGGGCTATTGCCACGTTTTAATGCCACGCTATAGAAGGCTCCGTCTTCCCCAAACGGTTCGATCTGAACTCGTTCCACCGGGATCGGAAGCATGACGTCAAACTCGTCAGGATCCGAGATCTGTGTGAACAAGGACGACATTCAGCAGAAATAAACTTAGAGATGATACAGAAATTGATAATAGCATCTATATATATAAAAAAGTTGTGCTGTGCAGCAATTTCTCTAAATTTGAGAAAACGTTAACAGTAGTATCTTACCTTAAGGTTTTCATAATAACTTCCTGTGTTCAGCTGTTTGTCTACTTCTCGGAAACACAAGGTTTCCTTTTTTAAATGCCTAGTTAGGTTTTCTATAAACTCATTCACAACTTTACTCGTATCTGATTTGTCCTTTGTCTTAATCTTCAGTTTTTCTAAAGTAGACTGCAGGACAGAGTCCACTGAAGCTGATCTTGTCTTCAGCAGATCTGGCTTTATTTTGTCAGGATGTACTGTATCGCAGGACTTTGGAGGAGCTGGGGTTTTTTTCCCCCCTGAAGGTCTCTCGGTCTTTTTCACCTCAAGTTGTGCACCTTCCATCTTCCCTGGAGCCTTGATACGGGGTGTTGGGGTCTCTGCCTTACCAGCAGCTTTAGGTTTTGTGGCCTTAGGGTTAGCCTTTGCTGTCGCTGACCTCATTGTTGTAGCTTGTGATTCCAGCTGTCTGTCCAAGGGTATTTCCACTGACATGGACCTGCTGGAACAAATTTTGGTTTTAGTCTTCTCTGGAGGCCTTTGTTGTTCTCTGCCTCTGCCCTTTTCTTTAGCGGTTTCCTTCACAGACGGCGTCTCTTTGGCATGATTTGGCTTCAGAGGATCCTCTTTCTTTTTCCTCCCGGTGTTTCCCGCCTCTCCTTTCTAGAGTCCGAGCATGGTGTTGAGTCAGGACTCTTTGCCTGACGAGATCTCTCTCTGCGACTCATAATGAGGAAATGAGAGCAATGAAACCGCGCTGCAGAAGATATACTAATGCCCTGCTTCCTGTTACACGCCCCTACCATATTTGGTTGAATGCCCTCGAGCTCTTCCAGGTGCAGATGCATTGAGTCATTTACTTTCTCACAGATTCGACATGTGCATGTCATTCCATAGTTATAAAAAAAAAAAAAAGTTTTTATTCCTGTGACAACAGCGACATCTTGTGGCTGTAAGTTTGCATTAAAGAAATTTTCTGACTTTCCGAATGCATAGGTTCTGATACAAACAGTACTAGCAGACAACAAAGTGCTTTGGTTGAGAGATGTTTAATGTTGCAAAGAGGCTCATGCCATCTCACAATAAGGTGCGGTAGCTTATGCCAATTCAGTATTCCTCGGTGAAAGTGCAAAATTAGCAAAATGCCAATCAAAGTGCTTCAGGCTGTTTTGAGTCCCTTCAAGGACAGGCTTAAACTTTTTCTACGCGGTATTTAAAGCTTAAATACAACAGATGTTTCACTAATACACTAAAACGGTTCTAGCCAACATGTCTAACTCTTGCTATTGGTTCACATTGAGCAGTAAGTAGGTGCAAACACTTAAAGCAGAACATGTAAGGAGACCCAAGACCATAATTCTAGACAGCTACGATTTACAGAGTAAGTGTATTTGTTCAGTATCACAGAAAAGTATTACCATAAACCAAATTAACAGCTCACATTTAGTACCATGTTGTTTTCTTTTGTTTTAACTTCTTGTTACCACATGTTACACAATGGTAGTCTAGCCACTGAGATGGATTCAGGAGTATGGCAACATGGACTGAAGATCTAACATCTTTCTTTCCTTCGAATGCTTTTGCGATGCATTGTGATGATTAACCAGTCTTTGATTATTAAGTTGAAGTGGCCAATCACAAGATGGAGTTGGATGAGGGCTGTCCTGCCTTGGAAGACCTTGTGGTCGGCAGTGCAGCACAACATTCATTTGTTCCTCTGGGCCTTCTGAGCAGACTTGGTGATTTTACCCGTGGTAGACACTTTCTTCTCCACACCTTTTATCACTCCCACGGCCACGGTCTGACGCATGTCGCGCACCGCGAACCGACCTGTGAAGGAAATTCAAGAAAAAAAATAAATAGTGATGCAGAGCACAACTTAACTGTGCTGCATTGGATACTTTTGAGGAGCCACAGGAGACATTGGGAGCTTTTCGAATCATCCAATGCATTCCCAGTTGAACTTACCCAACGGAGGATACTCAGAGAAACTCTCAACACACATAGGCTTGCCAGGAATCATGTCAACGATGGCGGCATCTCCAGATTTGAGAGATTTGGGATTGTCTTCCAGCTTCTTGCCAGAGCGGCGGTCAATTTTTCCTTGAGCTCTGCAAACTTGCAGGCAATATGAGCAGTGTGGCAGTCCAGCACAGGAGCATAACCAGCACTGATCTGCCCAGGATGGTTGAGGATGATCACCTACAAAGCAAAGTCGATGACTTGTAAATAGGAAGCTTGCTTCCTGTTAGATTTTTTTTTTTTTTTGCTGATTTAACAGTAGTTACATAGTGTTTTACTAATTTAGACTACAACAAAAAGGACATCACACTGCCTATTACTGTGACTTCGTCAACCATACTTCAAAAATAACTTGAATGCTATGAATACTTCAGAAGAGATGGTTTTATGTTTCCACACAGGCATTCATTTCTATAAAATAGAGTTTGCAGTGTCTACCTGAGCAGTGAAGTTGGCAGCTTCCTGTGGAGGGTCGTTCTTGCTATCCCCAGCCACGTTGCCACGGCGAATGTCCTTCACAGACACATTCTTGACGTTGAAGCCCACATTGTCGCCTGGGAGGGCCTCCGTCAGTGCCTCATGGTGCATCTCCACAGACTTCACCTCGGTGGTCACGTTAACGGGCGCAAACGTCACAACCATGCCAGGCTTCAGTAATCCTGTTTCCACCCGGCCCACAGGCACAGTTCCAATACCTGAGGAAAAGGAGGCCACACAATATGAGCATCGGTGGAAGACATTAAGTGGTTCAGTTTTTGGACTTAAAAAAAAACACGCGGTTTTTGATCGTCACCGTTGGTTTGAGTTAAGGCAGATGCTTACATTTTTTTAAGAAATGCATTCTTAAAAAAATGCATTTCCATTTTTTTAAGAATGGAAATGCATTCTTAAAAAAAGAATGCAATTCCATCTCATGTGCTCTATGTTCGTGAATGTGCTACATGCCTCCAATTTTGTAGACGTCCTGCAAGGGAAGTCGGAGGGGTTTGTCTGTTGGGCGGGTTGGGGGCTGAATGGCATCCAGAGCCTCCAATAGCGTGGTCCCTGATGCACTGCCATCCTTCCTGTTAATCTTCCACCCCTTAAACCATGTCATCTAGAAGATAAAAATGGGACAAATCCATTCACAAAACATCCTGTAGGATGTTTTTTTTTTTAAATTATCCCATAGAAAACTACACAAGCCAATGGAAATGTCAATTTCTAGATGGTCTGATATGCTGGTAGTCAGTTGAGTACGCCTGACTTTTGCTGTGACAAGTTCTGTACACCTGACGATAGTTTCTTCCCTGTTACTGCGGTGCTGTCGACCGTCACCGCTGGTTTGAGTTAAGGCAGATGCTTACATTTGGGCTTGGCTCAAGCATGTTGTCTCCATTCCAACCGGAGATGGGCACGAAGGCGACGGTGTCTGGGTTGTAGCCGATCTTCTTGATGTACGTGCTCACTTCCTTCACAATCTCCTCGTAGCGCTTCTGGCTGTAGTTTGGCTCGGTCGAGTCCATTTTGTTGATGCCCACAATCAGCTGCTTCACGCCGAGTGTGTACGCCAGGAGAGCGTGCTCCCGAGTTTGTCCGTTCTTAGAGATGCCGGCCTCAAACTCTCCCACGCCTGCCGCTACAATGAGCACGGCACAGTCAGCCTGAGTATGTACAACAACAAAAAAAGATGGCTATTATAAAACGATTGCAAATGATCCTGAACATACACTCCAAGATGGCTTTTGAATACTAATTTAGGAACCGTTATAAAATCAGATCCACTAATTCATTCAGAGTTGGCGTAATTACTCAGTTTGCAGACCTGAGAGGTACCAGTGATCATGTTCTTGATGAAGTCCCTGTGGCCTGGAGCATCTATGATGGTAACATAGTACTTGCTGGTCTCAAACTTCCAAAGTGAGATGTCTATTGTGATGCCACGCTCCCTCTCTGCCTTTAACTTGTCGAGCACCCAGGCGTACTTGAATGAACCCTTTCCCATCTGGAAAGGCAAAAAATATATATATATCAAGATTTTTTATTTCTTATTAGAAGTGACTATCTTCGGCGAGACCATTTCTCAGCTCTACTTGCATCAAAGGGTCATTCTCAACACGTCCCCATGTACTTTACCTCAGCAGCTTCCTTCTCAAACTTCTCAATAGTTCTCTTGTCGATGCCACCGCACTTGTAGATGAGGTGTCCTGTAGTGGTGGACTTGCCAGAGTCCACATGGCCGATCACGACTATGTTGATGTGGAGCTTCTCCTTTCCCATGATGACCACAGGGCAGAAGTCACTAGTCCACTAAAGCTGTGGTTGAGTTGTCGAGGACAGGAAATGGATGAACCAGACATTAGGAATGTACATTTGATATGTTCAAGTTAAAAAGTGAGTCCATATTAGACACTCGTTTGCACTCATTGAAGGATTGGCTGGATAATGAAAGGATGTCGTGAAATGTCGTGACCTACACAGACATAGAGAAGACTCTTTCCCGCAGACACTCACTGACACCCTCCAAGTATATTAATGGAAACGTTGCAAAGCCAGTGATGACTTGAGGAGCCTGGTACAAAGTCAACACTGTTGTCTTCAAGGTACCTCAAGCCAAAGGTACCAGTATCTGCTTTAATGAACATAGTATCGTGAGTTGTTGAATTGGACAAACAAACTTTCCGGCTAAATGCGCTTAATATTTTCAGACAACAAACAAAAGATGCTCAAATGTTCGGCATCTAATTTTTCAGAACTAATTCAAGACGCTGTTCCTCAGATGATTAAGGATCAGACCTCTGATCACCGAGACTGAACGCAAGACGCCTGGCCCCGCCCACTTTGATCCCACATCCATCCAAACCCCTGCTGCGCTCATCTCTGCACCTCAGCTCGCCTTCCGCGCATCTGAGTGCATCAGCTGATGTCGCACAGACTCGGCTCTTGCTCCCTTCCAAGCCAGAATCCACCATTTTGTCAGATCCAGCCGACCGACGGTACAGCAGCCATTTCTCTGACGCCGCAGACTTTTAATAACTGCACGACCGCTGCGTTGATCAAGTGAAACGCTGCAACCCCCTCCTCCTTGCAAGCTTTCGGCGTTGCATGCATTTGGCCATTATCTGCATCTAATTGAGAAGAGACGCCGCGGTGGCGACGCGCATCCTCAACACGATCCTGCTCCAGACAGGTGGGAGCGGATCAGGTCCCAGGACGGCCGCCACTCGTGCGGTTTGGCCGATTCTTTTGCAAATAACGTCGCAGCCACTGCCGCAGTGCGCATCGGCAAAAACAAAAGCCGCTCAAACTGCGGAGAAATCCCTTTAAAAAACAAAACAAGCGCAACCACTGCGGTAAAACCTAAACGTCAGCGGGACTTAAGGGGGACTCGCGGATCCTCCGCCATGTTCTGTCATCCGCATCGCTTGCGGACCACTGGGTGCGTATTAAATACCAGCAGCTTGCATTCCGCATCACATCTCTGTCACACACCGGGACGATGCCTTAAAAAGAGACAGACTGTTTATATGGAACTAAAACGACGCGTGTTGCTGTTCTTGTTGTTGTTTTGCCTGGATGCGGTGCGTCGTACCTGAGAGCTGGCCGGTGTCAGGTTGGCAGCAGGAGCGCAGAGGCTGCGGAGAGACGCTGATCCGTTTATAGCTTTCAGGACAGGCGGCGGGGAAAGGAGAAAGAGAGGGAGGGAGGGACGGGGGGGTCTGTTGCGTAACTGCGCACAGCGAGCTCCGCTCAGCGTCCCAGCGAGGAGGGGAAAGAACTGCTCGCAAACCGCGCACCAACCTCAACCATCCCTCATTATTAGTCGCATTTGTCTTGAAAGCAGCGTCCGCCTTTAAGTGGAGAAAAATGGGATTTTAATTGGGGTTTTCCCCGACACCGCGTCCGATAATTGAAATGCCCTAGAATGCGCAGTGTTTTGGTGTCTATGAAGCGGAGAAAAGTCGCTCAGCTGGCTTGCAGCAATAAGCGGGAGGTAAACTGCCCTCCGGACGCGCTGTGGTTGCATTGATGTTCCCTTTGAACCCTTTTCACTGCGCCTGTCCGACAATTAGCGCAGCGGCCCCGAGCCACTGACTAGAAAGTCTGGCTCCAGGCGGTAAAGCTAAATTCACATTCCTCACATTCATTCCACCAACATGTAACGCGTGTCAATAATTTGTATTTACACAATTTACGTTTCACACGTATGATGCATACGTTTTGAGGGTATGCGTCATAACAGCATCAATGAGCAACGCTCCCCCATCAAGAGCAATTTTGAAGTCTAAGATGATTATTGAAACCTGGACTTTGACTGGGCCGATTTACACTTCACCATCCCAATCATATCTGGTGTTTCTCGGTCTTCATGATGTCTGTCCATTGATGTTCTCTTACAAACCTCTAAGGTCTTCACAGTTTTTATGTGCTTATGAACTGTTTTGGAAATGAAAACCCAAAGCAATGTCAGATTTGTCACTGGCTGTATTTGATACAATTCTATTAACATGAATAAAGACATTTTTCTGGAATGTTTCCATTACAATTATTTACCATCATATCTGTTTACTGTGCAGCACAATACAAAGTCCCTTTGATTCCTTGTATATCAACACAGAAATAAAAATGTAAAATATATATATATATACATACATAATCAGAATATGTCTAAAGAGCTGGATTATAAGTGTCTTAATTAAGGCTTGAGTGTCTTAATTAAGGCATAAGTGCATTGTTTCTACTCCCATTGTGGTGCTTCTTGTGAAAAGCAATATTAATAACATATTGGTTTCACAAGTTTAAATTTGTCAATTGAAAAAGAAACTAAAGTAAACTTAATTTTAAGAAATTAGATCTAATTCAATTGACACTGAAACTATTTGACTTTTCAATCCACATATGGCATAAAACACTGAGAAAAAAGTGCCCTTCCTTTGAATCACTGACTTAGAGTTTCACTGTAATTCCCTTATCGAGAAACAAAAAGCTTAATTTCAAGAAATATTGTAACCCATTTTTCTCATTTGATGAGCATCGTCGACTACAAGGAGGGCCCCGGGGATCCCTCAATTAAACAAAGAAATAAAAAAGTAAACATTAAGACATAATTCTCGAAACACATTGACGTCACAAAAAAAGGCAACCGCAACAAACAGAAACAAAGACTTTTTAAGGCGACGTCGATGTAAGGCTAGTTACTTTCCTCTCTTTAGAAGAGCTCAGATATTTTTTCTTTCTAAAGAAAAACCTGTAAAACAAACCTCGACTCTTCAGTCCAGTATTAAAACGAACCACCTCAAATATGCAAAAAGAGGCAGGTACAGAGTTAAAATGTAGATAAAAACGTGACAAATTACAGGTCAAGGTACAAATGTGTTACTAAACGTTGCACAAAACAGTGAGGAAAAAAAAACTCCCTCGTCAGTGTAGATCTTTGTTGGTTTAAAAAAAAAGAAACGGATTCACTGTAGGATTTTTGAGTAACAACACAATGACAGCAATGATAACATTATTGCTTCTGTAGCTTCATTGCCTGTGCTAAGCTCCTAATGAAGCATAGATGACTGGTTACAATGCAGACTAATTTACTGGCCTTTTTAACTCAAACATTTAATCTGTGGCTGCAAAACCGTCAACCTTATAACTAAAACCAGCTTCCCTTTCTACTGTTCTCTACTGAACAAAAAATAAGATCTTAAGATCACAGGGTAAAATGTTTTAAATCAGGTTTTAACATCATTAAAATATGGGTCTTCTTCACAAAATATGAACTCTGCTGCTCAACAAGCACAAATTTCTTACAGAGTTTGTTCTCTGAATGGACGCGACGATTCAGAGAATCGTCGCGTTTTCAACATGCAGCGTTTTCAGTCTCCGTGGGAGTAGGCTGTACGGACGGCCCAGGGCTGAACCGTCCCTCGTCCAAACACGGCGTAGAACAGAGCGCCAAACACGTTGATGGCAGCGGCGATGTAAAACACAGTCTGCCATTCCTCTATAGTGTTCTGGAAGACAGTCAGCACAGAAATGGATGAATAATACACACAAAGCAATGTTTCAGGTCAATGTAACTGTTTAAGTTAAATTAAAGTAGCAGATTGGTTAGAAAAGTGTTTAAATTCTTTCTCTAACTGCCTTACATGTACTGTCTGTACAATAAAAATGATGATCATCGATCATTCAATTGCACACACAGAAAGGTTGAATTGTGATTTCCTTCCAGTGAAACCATTATATTGGTTTCCTGTAAAAGTAAACATCAATGGAGGCATTCTTTAAAGAATTGTGTGTACGGAGCAGTAACTTCCAATACCATTAGAAATGTTTGCTTTAGGTCTCCACTCAGAAATCAAACAAGTAAACAAATGCAAAAAAACATTAAGCATTTGTTACAGAACAAATTGTGAATTTTTCATGTAAATCGATCATAGAAAAAAATGAAAAATCGTCCCAGGTTGAAGATGACCGCCCCCAAGTGGTCAAATGTTGACATGTACATCTTTGAGATGGAAGAGGAATGTTTCGGACTCATTATTCACAGTTTGAGTGACTCTAATGAGGTCATCTTTATTGGTGCAATTAACAAAACCCCCTGCCTTAACCTGAAACAATGAGGATTAAAAAAACCAGTTGCTTTCAATCATGAAACGCCAACTCACACTGTGTGTTAGAGCTCTTGCTATGACGGGTCCCACCATACCAGGAATGGTGGCAAAAGTGTTGGTGATTCCCAGCAGGATACCGGCATACCTAGAAAAATATGCAACTGATCAACGTTCACGAAAGTGTGCGAAGACAATAGCTTGAAAGAGTTTAATTACACTTTAAAGCGTTACAAAAGGTAGACTAGTTCTGAAAAGCCGTCTCTCAGAACAGGATGGGCAGACTGGTTCGTGAACATTCATCTTAACCCGTTCTTACGAAGGAGCGATGTCGAGGTGGTTGATGTTAAAGCCGGAGGCCGACACTCCGCCCAGAGCAGAGGAGAGGGTGAGGAAGGTCACGGCCAAGCTGTAGTTACAGCCTGTGAAACCTGCTGCCACCAGGAACACGGCGGGCCCGATCATACCTGACACAAAAACATGCAGCGTTTTCAAATCACAACCATCTAAAACAGTGCTGAAGGAATAAATCTTGATGAATCGATTATTGAAATAATCATCGTCTAATTTCGTAATCGATTAATTGTCAACTGAAGCGCACAGACTCCCCAAAAAAATCACCTTACTAAAAGCAGTAATTAAGCCCAAACTGTTCATAAGATAAGTGTTTTTATCTTTGCATTTACGTTAAACGCTTGTGTCAATATGTTTTACCCAAATCTCTCCAAGTGGCAGAGTATTAACTTCACATGGTTCAATTTCACTGAATGAATGCTATATTATTGCATTTTAAGATTTATTTAAAAAAGAACTGAATTATTTGTTTGCATTTCTAATATTATGTAAAAAACTTTACGTGGTTGAATAACAAATCTGGAGAACGTGCAAATAATAATAAAAAAAAATTAACTGTCATAACAATCAATAGAATAATTAATGACTAAAATAACGGTTGGTTGGAGGCCTGCATGTAAATGTTTATTACCAATCAGAGAGAAGGACTTCCTGACGATGACTGTAGGGTAAAGGCAAGTCTCTCGCAGGTAATCGGCGACTTGGCCGCTCAGTACGGCCATCAGAGCACAGCCCAGGTACGGCAGAGCGGAGAGAAACCCGTTCTGTCAGGACAAACATCATCAACACATTCTCTCTTTAAAAGAGCCTGTCTAGCATTTCCTGCTTTGGACTATTACCTATAACAAAATGTACCATTTTTTCCCCAGATGTTGTGCAGCCCTTCTCACCTGCTGTATGCTGAACCCCAGGATGTCGTTCATGTAAGTCGGCAGGAGAGTGAGGAGCGTGTAGAAGGTCCAGTTGTAGGAAAAGTGAGCTACGACGATGGCCATCAGCGGCATAGAGGTCACGATGGCTCGCCAGGGGATGTGGCTTGAAGAGGTAGACAGCTGGAAAAAAACAAATGGAAATTTTGTTTGCATCGTCTGTTTGCCCTTTGCTTTGGGACGTCTAGTTTACTAATCGTGACCAAAAAAGCTTCCATAATTTCATACAGGTTCACCGCCGAGTTATATCTGGTGTTTGATATCCTTCGACGAAAGATGGTGCATTAAGCTTTATTTCTTTATTGATAAGGAAGGAAGAGGAAGTTTAATATTACACTTGAATACAACCAACATACAAGATTATCTCAAAGTGATTCTATGTTCTTTGTCTCCCCCTGCAGGTGTAAATTTTATCATCTTTAAGAGTTCTGGAAGTGGAACAATGGCCTCCACTGAGCAGGACACCATGCAACAATAGAGACTAATGGAAATATATAATAAAATAAAAGCAATCACTAGTGACAGTCAGTGAATTAAGTGTTTATTAATAGCAGGGTTCGTACTCTTTTCCCACTGTAAAATTCAAGCATTTTCAATTATTTCAGGCACTCGGACGAACCCTGTAATAAATTGTTTCTGATTTTAAACAACAATTAAGGCACTTTTAGAGCTCCATAAATTGTTGCTCTTGCAATTTTTTTAAATTTTCCATTTGAAAATCATTCAGAGCCATGATAAATTCTCTAAATTTGCTTCGTATGCAACAACCATGCCTTATCAGTAGAAGAAGTTAAAATTTACAATAAGTTGAATCTTTATAGAGTCATTACAGATTTCTGATGGCTGCAGGAGGTTGTTTTAGGGTTAAATGCTCTACATTTTATTAAACTAAACTCCAGTTAAGCTAGCTGAGTATTTCTGCTGACCATGCCCATATAAAGAAATAGATAAGGCAGCATTTATTTCAATTTCATAAACTATAAAACAAGTCTATACATTAATGATTTCAAACCATGCTGCGTTAAGATTGTGGCTGAAGATTTCATACTAACCACCTGTAAACTGCAGATTCACTGCGAGTTTCGTCACCAAACTACTGAACAAGACCGATAAGAAAATAAACAAGACATTTTGCAACAAAGAAATGTCTGCAAGGTGATACCTCATTTTTCAGAGAGTTGGTGATGTAAAGCCTCTCCTGCTCTGATATCCGGGGGTGACTGTTTGGACTGTCAAAGACGAGGAAAGCCCACAGGACGAACCACACCAAGCCAACAGCACCTGGACACATACATGCACACAGATACTTGCCTCACCGCAAACTCAAGACTTCAACACCCATGTGATTGCACATACTCAGATGTGTGACTTTTATAGATTCTAAGACTCAGAAAAGACAGCGAAGCAACTTTACAGCAAGTCAGCAAGAAGCAAATGCAGTGGAAGTTGTGAAGGTTTTTAATCAAACAGGCCGTTTCCTCTTCAGTCTGCTTATTCATTGTTTCCACAAAACAAAGAGGAACAAACAGCAAACTCACACTGCTTCGCTCATACCATGTCAACTCATCCCTGACATTCTTCAACACTCAATAGCAATTGATAAAACATCCGATGTAGTTTAACCTTCTTTGTTGTAATTTGCTATATCTCGATCTTTTAACATCTTCCAAGAAATTTGAAAGAGCCTGATCACAACTTTTAATGTGAAAGAAAGAAAAATGAACTTGCAGGAGTCTTCATTGTTCACCGTTTAAAAAGCAGAGATGTAACCCGAGTGGCAGAGAGATTTTTCTTCAACTAGCCACATTCGACATGCATCATTACCAAAGACGTAGAAGACATAGGGCCAGCCCATGTAGAAGCAGATTTCACCAGACAGCGGCAGAGCCACGACCGTCCCCAGCTGGGCTCCTGGGACGGGAGACAAAATGGAAAACATCAGCTGTCCATAGCTGCATACAATAAAACAGAAAGATTATTTATTTTCAGTTATTCATCATTTGTTGGAATAATTCAAAAAATATATGCATAGTCTACTCCTTCTTTTATAAGTCAATTTACTGCGACATAAGCAACTAAGCGTCAACCAACCATTCATCTTTAAACACAAACTGGCAGTGTATAGAACAATAAGAAACAAGATGCATCCTTGTAATGACAAAGCACTCTACTGAGTCATCATGCTTCATTATGCCAAGAGACATAGAATAATGCATTTTATTATTTTCTTTAAAGTAAAACTTGATCTACTCTCTCTGGTTTGTTTAGACAGATTTGTTCCATAAACAGAAACACAACATTCCTTTTATTTACTTCTGACCTCTCAAATTCTAAAGTCTCTCTTTTCATAAATCTTTTTTGCAAACGTGTTGGTAATATGCTATGACTTGCAGACTATAACAGTCCACCAAGTCATGAAATTTAATTAATTTTAAGTTGAAGGACAATTGCGCTTGTTGGACCTCTGTAGCGTTTTCTGCTTCCATAAATATAAGGTAATCTATAGCTACTGATGGTGTAGTCGTGACTGGATTAGAGAGAAAGCGAAATAATCAATAAGAGTGATTAGCGATGGAAGTAACAACATAAATTGTTGTGATAAAGTGTGAGGTGTGTCATTATAAAATCATAAATTAGCAACAGAAACTGGAAAGATGATGAGCCTCATCCTCGTTGCTCCCAGTGTGCTATGCAGTAAATGACCTAATCAAATTATACTCTTCAATTGGATTTAGGTCTAAGGAAATTCTCGTGATTTCAATTCAGATTCTCTGTATCATAAACATCTGCACTACTTGCTGCAGGGGATTTGGCTAAAATAACAACAGAACAATTGCAGAAAAATTATTTTCTGATTATAGTTTGTCAACTGTGTTTAGAAATGCACCAGTTAGCGGTTTACAGTGGTGTTTGTGTTCTGATGAAATCTAACCTGACCCGCATGATTAATGGTAGGACACCATTAGCAGTATTAGGAATTAGTGCAACCTCTGTTAGACGCCTCATGGCTCTAAAACACGATACAGAACCAGAACGTGGCTGATAATAGTGACAACAAAGTGAACATATTTTCCTGCGTCTCTTCTCACCAATGTATGAAATGGTGAGCAGTCTACTTCTCTCCAGCGGCGGGGCCCATGATGCCCACATGGTGTACATTGCAGGGAACGTGACACCCTGGATACAAACGAAAAGAAGAATCTGATAACAACATCTGGCTATTGTTGTTGTTTTTACATGTATGGTTCCAAAAGAAAGATTTCACAGCCATTGTGAAGCTTTTAATTAATCTCCGTCAGCTTTGGACAAACTTAAATGTACTGAATTTACCAGTCATTGCCACAGATTCTCACTTGCATTTAGATAAATGTGCTGTAATCTAAAACATTTTACTTTTGCTTTATGGGTAACAACTGATCCCCTGAAAGGTGAACTGCATTCCTACTCTCCGCTCCTACTCCGTTTCCCTTAACTCAGGACATTTTCATTCTCTTCCCCCAACATGATGATGCTGTCATTCTGTAAAGACAATGCATTCATAATGGTGATTTTTTGTTTTTGTTCATTTTAGCTCATCCTGTCAACTTGATTGTGCCATTTTACAGCGCAATCAAGTAACCATGTCACCTTCAGTTATGAAATCGCCGCACATTTCAAACATGACTTATGAGAAATTTGACTTTTGCTTAGGCACTCTTGAATGGTTGCCACCGGAGATTGAAGGATTTCTCAAACATGTACGAAAGAATCAAGGCAGCACTCCAGATATATTTTTGATGAAGGAATTTTAACACGATAAAAAGTTTAAAAAAAAAAAAAAAGGTAATTTCACAAAAAAACCAGGCCTTTAAACTTTTTAAAATAAAACTCTAGGGAACAAATCTGATGCAACTGATGTTTAATATTTAAATACAGTTCTTTTGATAAGGACAGTTTTCTCATAAACCCATTCAGATGAAGCTTTTCAAATGAGTATAATGGCATAAACACAGCACTGATACTTGGAGAGGTTCTGGTTTTCTTCTGTAAAAGAACTAATTAAATTATGTCTGTACTGCTAGAAAGACCAACACTTTCGTAAATCTGACTCTAACGACTGTGTTTCCAGGAATGTCCTGTTCGCATACCTCTCCGACGCCCTCCAGCGCTCTCACTACAATGAGATAGCTCGCGCCCAGGTTGGCGGCCAGGGGCGTGAGCAGTGTGAAGAGGGCGGTTCCCAGAACGCCGAATCCCATCAGCCACTTAGCTCCGCAGCGGCCGGCCAGGTAGCCGCCGGGGATCTGTGTCAGGATGTAGCCGTAGAAAAAGGAGCCCAAGATCCATCCCTGAGTCGCAGAGTCCCAGTTGTAAACACCGGCCTGAGAGAACGCACCAAGTCATTACTATTTTTGCAGGGCTATTCAGAATGCTGAAAATAGAAGGCTGTGATCACCAAGAAGTAACACAGTGGTATGTAACCAAATGTGGCTGTAACACTCACCGACTGGTTGTGTTTGGGTGGTACGGGGTTGTTGTGGGGGGTGCACACCGAGCCACTGTGGTTGCTGCTGGACTGGTGGGTGTTGTTGAGCATGTCCACCATCGCCACGCTGAGGTTCACCCTCAGGGAGTAGACCACGAAGAATCCGTAGCTGGAGAGCAACGCCAAGCCGTAGCGTGAAGAACAGCATGCTGGCGCTGAACGGAGAAGAAAACGGATAAAACGGTCAGGTGAATAATTTCCAGTAAAACATTGCATTTATGTCCACAGCATTTTGGACAAAAACAGCTTTTATTACTGAAGAAATTAAGAGAAACCCAAATATGTGGTCTGCAATACGTTTGTTTTTAACTGTTTCAGGACTAGACCTACTTTCAGAACCACCAGTGTGGTTTAACACCTCCATCTAGGAAGGTCAAGAGGCCATAAAAAGTACTCAAAAAAATTATCTGGGCAAGTTTATTGTGGGACACAAAGAAAACATGTCATTAAATTAAGTACAAATGATAAATTATTTTGTTTTCTTCTCGTTAAGTGTGTGTTGTTGTTTTTTTACTGACTTGAAAACTCAATTTCATATTTTATCAGGTAGAAGATATGATTAGAAAGTAAAAAAATATATATATCTTGAATTATAGTGGAACAAAACTGTCCAAACATTTTTTTTCATGCCCTTTTTTTTTGTCTTTTCAAATTTGAAAATTATCAATCCAAATTTTCCCAGCCTTTTTCAAGACAGAGTATGAATCCTTTAAAAAAAAAAAAAAGAAAAAAAATATCAATAGCAATTGACTTGAAATGCAAAGATTTTTGCAAGAATTTCTACTGATTCAACAAAATAAAAACTATACATCTCCTGTATGTTTTAGTTCTCTCCCTGATGGCATCTACAACCTTTTCAGCATGTCAATGTTCTTCTTCTTCTAAGGAGCCATCATTTAATCCTACTTTGGGCCCCACTGCCTTAGTTCCACTTGTACACAAATCTTCAAACTTTGCGTTTAAGCACAGGTAGAGATCATTCTGATTCTGCTATATGACAATTTATTTTAGAATTGGGAAGCACCACTTCCTTAAATTGCAATGACAACACTGACACAACTTTCTAAGGAAAGCTGAATTTTGGGGAGAAATATTCAACTAACTATAGTCTATTAAAAAAGAAAAAACACTAAAGACTCGTAGCTGCAACTTGTGCTTCGCATGCTTAAATCTGAACATTGCTTGTTACCTGAGCAGTTTTTTTATTTTTATTGATGTCATTAATGACGGCACCTGCTCAGGTAAAGTTGTTTTATGGGAGAAGACTGCCTCGTGACGGAGGGTGGCACAGAAAGTCCTCCAACAAGGCAAACAGGAAAAGACCCGGATCTTCACTGGTCACACCTGAGGCTCGCTGAAGTCGCCCAAAACACATTGGCGATGTAAAATAGTTGGTGGCAAAGAGTGACGTTCTTGTTGACAAGTGTGAACAAAAAAATTAAATAAAAAAAATGGAAGTGGGAGTTAAAAACAACTTAAATAAGCTCCTTTTGCTTTCTTGAAACAAAGAAAACCAGACCACCGACTCATGTCTGTCTGTTGAGCCTTGCGAGCCTGTTAGCGGCAATTTAAAAAATATATATTATTACTATTTTTATTATTGTCTCACCTCTCTGAAGTCTTCGGTGAAGGAGCGGCCTTTGCTGCTCGTCTTTCTCGACGTCAGAGTCGTACCGCTCCATGTTTTCAGCAGGAAATGGCCAGCAGACACTAACGGCTAGACGAGAGTCATCGTTGTAACGGGAGCGAGAGCAACGAACGGCTTTCCGCAGACACAAACTACGTCACGTGATCTGCGTCAGCTGACCGGAAGTAAGGGTTTTTTCTGTATGGCAAGTCAGTTTGTCATATAATAGTTAGGCTCTTCAAGGTACAGTTCCGTTAAAAATATCCTCACTTAAAAAAATGCTTTTTTTGATACTACTGAGCGTAAGTAGACACAAGCCCAGGACACCCACGCTGACAACTACAGCCTCTATATCTTGCCCGCGCCAGCCGCCACCACGTTTCATTACAGGCCAGAATTTCTCTCCGTTGGGTCTCGGATGTCTGCGGGGAAAGTGAGGAAGAAAGTGAGGAGGCCATAGCACGTTTCAGGGTGCATGTGGAGTACCTCATTGGCTGGGTCAAAGAGCGCAAGTTGTTTGACTCTGAAATTCCCCTAGGCGTTCTTGGGATTGTCAACCAACTGTACACTGTTGCTTCCCTACTAACAAATGGTAAAAAATGCCCTCTAGCAACTGCCTGGCAAAAGAAGCCTGACAAAGTATGTTGTATCTTCACTGTTCATTTTATAATACTGTTTAATAAAATTAAGTCACTTTTTTTTTTAGAAAACTCTACACGTCACGGACCCTTTTTTTTCTTTTCACCTTTATCTCTGCGGTTATATCAAGTATTTGCATAACGGTCAGGCCTTGAAGATGAATATAAAATTTTCATCTGTGGCTGGATGCTGCTGTGAGTGTGACACACAGCCAGACTGTTGCATAAGCATGTCCTGTGGCTACTCCTGTTATGATGGGAAGCCTAACTCAGCATGCTGGAGGCAAAGCGCAGAGGATTCAAACCACAAACTAGGCATAAACAATCTACCGCATCCAATTTTTCCTACAACTATCGTAAAAGCCAGAATATCAGCACAGATTTGTACTATAACGCTCCCAAGAGGTGATTAGAAATGTTGTTTCCATCAGAAGACATATTGTACATGGTGGAACATATTATAATATGAGAAGTCACATGATGAATTTGACCATTTTATAACAAAGTTTATGTGAGTCAAGAGATTGAGAGAGAGACTCACATGTGTGTAAAATAACAGAGAGCTGATTAGAGTATGTAAAAATATACATATTAAAATACTTGAGGCATGCTGTCGTGTTGTTTTTGGAAGACTTTTTTTCCTATGGTAAGCTAGAACATACTGTGGGACTCAAAACGATCCATAATTACTTTAAAATTAAAAATTTTTTGTGATGTGTAAAATGAGACAACAAAAACTTAAAAAGTGTTTTTCAAACTACTTCCAACTATAACTTGAAGCATATATTTTTGGACAAAAGGAAAATGATTAGCCTGGTATAAACACCCTGAAGCTAACGTTTACCGATACACGCTTTTTTTTTCGATACATGTTTTATATATGATGTAAAAAAAAAGTCAAGACCAAGTCAAGCGTAGCTTTCCATCAACCCCAGTTATTTATGAGGAAAAGCAACCCAGAGCCAGACACCCATGTCCCCATGTTTGTGGGAATGGTGTTTTTTTGTTTTCTTTGGCTATGTGACAAAGTTACCTTTTGAAATTCCCACCCAAAACTTCATATTTGATCTCATGAGAACCTCAGAAAACAACAGTCAACAAACTTCTGGAAGTTACAGTCAAACTTCCTCTGCTTTGTGGGATCTGTTTTAGCTAAAAACACATAAAAGGTGGATTTATTTATTTTTCACCCGTATCCAAAAAAACAGGCTGATGAGAATTGGTTTAAAAAAGGGAATAAAAGCATAAGACAGGAGAGTGCTTGCAGATTAACTTTAAAATTTCCATTCACTGAAAATAAATCAATTTTTTTCAGCTCCACAGGCACAAAATTCACATGATATTTTCTCTGAACTCAGTTACTGGTAAGAGACACAAGTTTTGTTTTTGTTTAGAGACAAATGAAGAGTGCATTCTTCTCTTGCAAACTCACATGTAATGGCAAAATCAAATGATGTGTTGGGAATTATGCAACCTCAAAACACAGGGTTTTTTTTTCTGAAGATGGGGAGCAGCTGTGATGTCTCAGGGCCTTTTTGTCCAAACCGCAGAGAAATGAGTGGAAAAATCAGGGAGACACATCCCGTAAATAAGACCGGAGATGGGCGGAAACACGATGAAAAAAAGTGGGGAGACAGCTTTGGGGTAAGAAATTCCCACCGGTTATTCACAGGAAAATAAATTCACATCTAAACTCTGGGGTCAATCTAAAATCTTCTAATTTGAAAGTCCTGGGCAACAGAGGATTGATTTACCACAAGCCATGTGTTCCCACTTATTTTCATCACATGACAGCAAAACTAAACTTTTTCGCTTATGTAACCTTATGTGGGGTGGAGAAGGAAACTATCACTACGCATCATGATGTAAGCAGCACACCACTGTGAAACACGGCGGTGGCAGCATCATGTCATATGGCAAGACGCATGACTGGGGCAGAAGGGTCACCTTTGAGCCAGAGCTTCAATGCTGTGGTTAGCATTAAGGAACATGAAATGAGGAATCTGTGGCGAGAATTGAAAGTCACTGTTCACACAGTCTCCAGATATTCTTTGCAAAGAAGAATTGTCAAACACAACAGTTCAGAAACGGGGACAGACAGACTCTAAGACACTCGCAACTCGAACTACAGCAAAATGTAAAGGATAGAAAAACACACGTCCGATAAAGCAATCACATTAAATCCTACTAAAATATGTACAAGTTTTGGCGGTAATCTGACAAAATATAAAAATCTTTAAGCGGTGTAGCGAGTTCTGGAAGGCCCCTGCAAACATAATTTTTTTAGTGATCTCTAATTCTCCTCAAATCATTGCATAAAATGATCTTGTATAGTCCATTGCATAAAATCAAACACAACTGTGTTTGATTGGCATCTTTAACAGATCAGTAAATTATGAAACACACACACGCGCGCACACACACACAAAACAAGTGCAATTATGCAAAGTACGTAAGTGGTCAGCAGGTGGTTTGCATTTCAATCATCAATCTGCTGCTTCTGTTTCTGATGACCTGTTCAGCTCCCCTCACTGTCCTGTGCAGGGCCCAATTGCCATTGAACTTGATGCTGGGATGCGGCAGGCGGACTTCTTTTCCTCCATGCTTCAGCAGAATGTGTTGGCAGATCTTTGCGTTACAACATCCATCCTTCTTCCGACAATGCAGCTTAATTCAACCTTCAACTGACTCTTCTCAAGGCTGCGGCAATAACCGCCTCTCTTTTTGGTCCCACACACTTCTGTGTAACGACAACCAGTCACGCCTCCTTATGTCTAACGATGTAGCTACACAATGTACGAGTCTCCACTTCTGATCTTCTTGCCCTCTATCCATTCAACCGGCCGAAGACAAGGAGCTTTTTGTGCAGAACGGGGAATCACAGGACTCACATGCTTCAGTAAGGAGAAACAGAGAGATTGCAGCAGATGATAGACTTCCTCAGAAGAGCAGGAGACCGGCGAGGAACGGGCTGAAGTCAGATTTGTGGCTGGACGAGGTACCTCGGAACCGTGTGGACCGAGCTGGACTGGACTCAAAAGGACTACCTGAAGATGGAGAATGACAGAACAGAAGCCGAGGAGAAGGTTGAGGATCTGCCCGAAGGTAGAAACTTATGTAAACACTTCAGTCGCAACTTCTCACAACCCAGGTTGGTTATACATGCAATTGAATCGTCACGTAATAGACTCTTCTGGCCATGATGCTTAATACGCAAGAAAAGAAATCCTCTGACTTCTTTTGTGCCAAGTTTTATCAGATTGTTGCGTTTTTCAAATCAGAAAGTTAAAATAATGTAAAGTAATAGGGGAAAAAATGTTTAAATGAAAACTTTAGTCATTTAAAGTAGCAAAGTCAAAAGATGTGTTTAGGATTTATAGACACTGCTCAGTTTTGAGAGTTGCTAAAATACACTAGATTTTATTCAGATGTTAGAGTATTTCTTAACTCTTGTTTTGAGAGTCATCTGACATGTAATTTTTGTTGCCAGGGTGTGAAGTTGTTGGTGTTCTTTGATAAAATATTTCTCCATTTAGCAAGCAATGAGAACTCGAAGACATCTACTTATTTCCTTGGTTCGGATTTTCAATCCAGTGCATTAAGGGCAAATTTAAAACATCTATAATATTCTCTTGTGTTGTTGGAGATAAGAGGCTGTGAGGCAATATTCTATTTTTTTTCTTCGTAATTGAAACAAAACAAACTCATTAAGAGAATTAGCAGTTTGTAAGAAAAACAAGACAATGCAGCAAACTTGTAGGCTTTTTTTCTTTTTTTTTTTTTTTTTGTCCAGCATGGTGGAAACTTTATACAATCGTAGCCGGATTTAGAATACCTGGCAAAAATATGAAACATAAACGACCTGGATCCTTTGGAAAGGTTCCAATCCAAGTAAACAAGAGTCCAAAACTAAAGAAGCATGCAGATACGATATGCAGCTGGGTCAGCGATTCATGCCTTGTGGCCGTTTTGCGTCTTCTGATTTAAAGCATTTATGAATTATTGTAAGCTAAAGGATTCTGTTCTTTACGTGGCGTGTTGTAGCATGTCTGCCGTCGCCAGGCTCTTTTCAAAAACTGTTTTACAAAATTGCGTGTATGAGAAAAACATTTTTGATATTTCTGTATGAAAATGAGCTTTTATTCGTTTGCCTGATTTCACTGTACAAAAAGAAATTTGCGAATATGATGTTGAAAATTAACATCAGAATGACCTTCAGAGCAAGTAGAGGAGACTCATAAGCTTTGGCATCTCACATATGGCTTTTGATAAAAACCTTTTGCCAAAAAAACTTCGCTTCCGATTCACTTACTGCAGCAAACGGTGTCCCTCAGGTATGTGTCATTGGAACTCTTTATTTCATTATCTACTACAGTAATGTTTACTCCTTTTTCCATTGAATTGCTGATGACAGTGTTATTTAGAGTTCTTTATGTACAGTAGGCCCGGCTCTAGCTCAGCTGCAGCTGGTTTTTAATGTCGTACAATTAAATTTCATTGCTACAAAACTTGTTTTAAACTCACAGGAATCAAATCTCATGCTTCCAATTAGAAAAACTAGGCTAATTAACTTGACACCATTTACAGATTTACCTCTTGGTGTCTGTACAGACTTTAGAAAACAAAAACATTTCAATTCTCTGTGTCTCATAGACATTGACATGAAAATGTCTTTTGAGTTTTGCTGAAGATTTTTAGAAGACTCACAGGAAGAGCAATCTGTCTTTAGGTGTTTTGCTTAACTTATTTGAACACAAAAGCTGAAAACATGTGCGTGCGCTACGACTGTTGCAACCGATCTTTAGTTCACTCGTGTCCCGGTCCGTGTCGTCCAGGACACTTTGAAAAAACTGATCTTTTAAATCTCTGCAACATTTTAAAAAACACAGCTCCTTTTAAGTAAAATCACATGTTCCTGCGTACTGGATCACCAAGAGCATTTTTATGTATTTTTTTTGTTTTAGGTGTTTATTTGAAGTCCCTGGGATGTTTCAGGACAGTGCCACGATGCAACATCTTGATGCCAATTTTCCACAGCTGAAGCTGAAGTGAAGCACACGACCCCGAGTTGCCACAGGAAATTTGACACGCCGCGTTCCCACAGACAGAAAGGCCTGATTGTTGAACACTTGATACGCTTTCTTTAGCTCGCTCAGAGACATGCAGTGTGTTTTGCCAGTGGGCTTAGTCGATTATGCATGATGATATATGTGTCGTGCGTCTTTGAGGTGACCCTCTGCAGTTTTGACAGTGGCCCCAAACTGTGCTGTGGCATTTTAGGGGACAAATGGCAGCACTGTGCGGCGATCCGTGCAAAATTGATTTGCATTTGCACATAAAATCCAATACATTTTGATTCAGTTGGAAGTCGCAGACTCGTCGTTGACAATTGCATTTCTTGGAAGTTAGAAAAATGCTTTTGACTAATAAGTGGCATATTAAATAACATCAAGAACAAACTTGTGCTCCATGACTGGTGAAGCGAACTATCTCAACACCTGTGGGATAAAATATCTGTCATGGTCAAGGCGGGGGCGGAGCGGCGGACCCCCGGCCCGGGCCTGCAGGGGCCCGGATGGGAGGCAGAATGCGACTTCAGGGATCCAAACCTTTATCCCGTCTGATGAGAGCTGGAGAAAGTGAACCATCTCCAGTTGAGTATGGTGTATGTAGGACTATGTAGTGTGGTATACTAGATTGCAACTCGTGGTTGCTAAAAACTTTCCAAGACCGACTAATTTTAGTGACATAGTGTGTGTGAAATATTGAATAAAATGTTGTGCGACATGACTGGCTTTAGTTTCACTCTTACATTTAACTTTATGACACACAACATTGCAAGAGGATCGTCCATATTGTCTCCAAGTGTATTCTGGGTGAAGCTTGTCACCGGCCGTCCACCAAGATCATCATCAGTCACTTGGCAACAGACGGGAAACTAGCTAGAGCATTTCTGCAGACTAAGTTGACATGAGTGGAGCTCCATGGAGCGGCAAAGTGAAAAGGCTCTGAGTAGAAATCGATAAAATGTCAGAATGGTCCGATCGCTATCCGTGGTTCTGAACTGATTTGAATTTGTGTCGTTTCATTATTAGTGACTTACAGTAGGTCTGATGTTTCTGTTGTGCTTCATGTCAGATGGTTTTCAGAATGACACAGTCATTCTCTGTGGTGGTAAAACTTGCAAGCTCTGCTGTCTATGTAGTAAAGTTACATTATCATGAGCTTTATTATTTGGTATGAAGGGCCCGGTTATCAGCCCCGGCCCCCGGCCCGACTCTGACTTCTTCCGCTATCGGGTCTGGGGCGAGCAATTTTACCACATTGATATCCATAACGTGTTGGTCTGCTTTAATAAGCGATACATTTGTTGTATTGCGGTTGATAAATGTGTGGAATTGACCAACAATCAGTTAATTGATTGTTTAAGGATGATATCAATGTGAGTTGGCCTTTGACCTCAGAAGGCTGGTGCTTCATGGAGATCTGAGCTGCATGCACAGGCACTACCAGATGATATTGTTTAAGTCAAAACAGCATTCTTTATCATAAAGTGATAACTGTGGACTTTGAGGGAAATGTACTTCAAAGTTATTCTCAAGCTTAGAAATCCATTTGAAAATGTCCTGCTATCTACTATTCAAGCGATTCTGAGTCTGCTGTTTTCAGCAGCTGACTAATAATAAGCGGATCAATTCGCTGAGGCCATAACGGCTTTTTTGAAAAAAGTCCTTAATTACTATGTGATGTAAAAAGCTGCAGATAGGCTTAAAGATAGTCAAATTGATAGTGTGCGTCTTTGACTGTTGGTGTTGTAGTGATGGTAATAGAGGGACGCAATTACCAAATTAATCATTTTCACATTAAATACCGAAAACAAGCTAATAAGCAGACTGTTTTTTATTTGTATTTTTTGATTTTACATGAAAATAACCACCTTGTAGCTAAACTAAAATGACATTTAACATGTGACTGAATGTTATTTCATTGGTGTTCATGTGTCAAAGTATTGAATGCATCATAATACTTTATTCCCTGCAAACAAACACAGAAGTACACGCATACATGAATATATAAAAATAAACTGTGATATACATACCTTACCCTTTGGGTGGTGTTACACCACTAATATTGTTTTTAATATAAATGTAATTTATACATTTGTATGTGTACTTATGTGTATACATGCACAGAAGTAAAGTACTAAGTTGGATGTTTACGCCTGCAGCAGCCATGCAGGCATTGGGAACTCTTCATCATCCAGAGTATAGTTCAGATTTTATAGGGTTTTTTTTTGCCAGAATGGAGAAAAAAAGATCTTGGATTCACATTAAGTGTATTATGAATTCTGATCCTGATGGGTGTCAATGGTAGTTCACGCCACACCTCCAATTCTTGGTATTTTGCTGCTGATTTACATTATTTTCCATCTTGCAGAGACAACAGAAGGTGTGGAGGAACGTCCCCAGGACATTTCTCAGGTAAATAAGTAAAAAAAAAAAAAAAAGTAGTCGTGTCACAAGTCAGAAGAGAGTCAGGTATTTCTTTAAAGCTTACTGTATGTAGCCTCTGGCTGCCTTAAAATAGTTACTGTTTTATCTAATAGCAAAGGTTTGAAATCTGTTCAAAGTAAACCTTTGTTAAATTCCTACTTTTGTCAACTGAGGAAACAATTGAGCCCATCAGAAGTGACCATCTGTGCATCCGAAGCACACATTTTTGTCACAAGTTGCAAAGAAAGAAAAAAAGTCAATCTGTTGCCATTCTTGCCCTGTGGCTCCGAGGTTGGAAACTGTAGTGACGTTATTGGATAGCTGAGCAGTTTTTTTGTTTTTTTTTCTAAAAACCAAAGGGCAAGAAAATCCTGCCGTTTTTAAGATACCACAACATAGTTTTTTAAAGAAAATACAATCTACAATGGAGTTTCTCGTCATAAATGAATATAAAACCATGAAGCTATAACTCAGCCACCATCCACAAAGTAGGGGAAATAAAAAAAAAACTTTGTTACTTTGTTAAGAATGAACTGAAGCCTACTGGTTCGTGTTTACAGGTACAGCAAATATAGAGAAGCTAAACTTTATGTTAGCCAAAGATAAAAACACAAACAGAGACGTGGAGAACTTCCTGAAAACTCATCCGATCTCCAGCCTCCAGGTACCGGGACGTTAATGATCAGTGTCAGCTCTCAGACGGAAGAACCAAAGGCAAGCAGGACAGACTCGCTATTGAGCCTCCTGCCTGATGCCTTTCACATGACAGAGAGCAAGAACAACACAGAGAGATGGGAAGATAGAAGGAAGGAAGGACGGATGGAAAGAGAGCTGCCTGGCCCACGTAATGTTCCCATGAGCTGATTCACTTATCCCCACCAAATAAATTCAATCAGTGACACATGAGAAAACTAAGAATGGAACCACAGGAGAAGACCTGAGCGGACAGAGGCTGGTGCTGATATAGGATTAGTGTAGGAAACAACGGCTTTAAATGAAGGAAGGTTGTTCATACTTAAAGTCCTTTCACTGGAACGGCTGAATGAGAGCAGAAAAAACCTGAATGAGCCACAGACTCCGGAGGGAAACTCCACGAAACTCTGACAAAACACAGTTACGCTCTTACAGAAGTTGTGAATTGTGAAATAAACAGAGAAAAAAATAAAATAAAATAAAACACTGTTTTTGGGGGGGTGGTTTTCAACAAAATCAAAAACACAGAATATATTTTACATAATAGACCATAAAAACTAAACAACTGCTCATCAAATCAAAAAAAGATTTTTCAAACCACTGGGACCAGTGGCGGTTCTTGCATAAGCACCGCCATCGGACAGCCTCCGTTTTGCACTTTAAGTCACTCCTTAAAGTGCAACTAACCCCCCTGTGAAAGCTAAGCCCCTCCTATGACAAAGCTCAGCAAAGTGGGCGGAGCCAAGAGACATTAAGTGTGAGGAAGAGTGGAAGGGGTGTGGTCAGGACTGTTGCTTACTTTATATTTGGTCACTATGTTTAGAAAGCCTTCTATTTGTCATGGACGCCCCCAGACTGTGACGCTCTGAGCAGAAGGCCACACCACTTCCACTTTTATGCACAGTGCTTGGAAAAAAAATAAAATGCTTCTTTAGATTCACTGAAATGTTGCTAAAGTTTAATCACAGAATAAGAACTTTTCCATTGTTTATACTTGATATAATTACTAATCGTTTCTGCTGTTGCTCGTCTTACTGTGACTCTTCCTTTAACCCGATCCCAGGAAGATGACGTTAACCTTTCTCCACGCGATCCAGGTGCAGGGCCTCCTGGTGGAGCTGCGCGAGGGGCTCCACGCGGCTGTGGGCGAGCTTGGCGAGCTGCGTCACAGGGACCACGCTTTGGAGGAGAAGCTCCAAGCACATCAGACTGAAGTGGATGACAAGATAATGGGCCTCAAGAACTCGCTCAATACATTCAAGGTGCAAGTTCACAGTTAGAGGAGTACAACTCAGATCTCTTTAACTTTATCACCTCTTGTTATGTTACAACCACAAACTAGAATGCATTTCATTTGAATTTCATGCTACAGGCCAACACAAAACATAACAAAAGTGTCATTTTTAAGGGGAAGGAATAGAGTAAATCGTTTCGGGTAAGATTAAAATACTTTAGTTTCAGGTTCCCTCTTGAAATTCTGCTTCACTTTTGTGTTGCATGTTCTCAGTTTCACCTCAAAAAGTATTTTGTTTTTATTTGCCCCTTCATAATAATGTTCAGCCAGCCAGCAGAAATCATGTCACTGTGTTATGAAAGTACTTTAAAGACGCCCGTAAACTAAAGAATGAAAGAATTTTGACAGGAAAAACACAAAAACAACTAAAAATATCAGACGTTCGACGACATATCAAACTTAAATAAGTTTTGCCAATATGGACCAGATCAATATTCAGACATCTCTACTCATTAGTGTATTTCATCGCCTGACTGCTTCGCTTCTTGGTCGTAATAGAGCTGATTGTTCACTGATGTTCCTTAAAAGACCTTCACAGAACATCTCGGATTATACCGAGATTAAATTACACCCAGTTTACTGATTAGATGATGCTGAAGGCAATCAGATTCCGATTTTGATTATCTTTAATGTCACTCAACATAACATCAGAGATGCCCTGCAGAACGAAATTACGATGCATATTGAGTCACAAGAAGAAACCAGCTGGATAAACTATGAAGGGATGGAAGAAGAGGACGAATAAAATAATAAAATAGGAAAAGCACCAGATTGAAAAAAAAGGGGAGGAACAATAAATATAAGCGACAATATGTGCAAAACAATCAAAGTCAGATTAATAAGTAATCATAATTGCTATTATGAGGTTCTTTGTTGTGGTGATAGAAAATGCCAGTAACTGGTACTGCTATCTGCTGCAGATTTTCACTTCACTTTCCATCTAGAGAACACGTAATTAGTCTACAGCAACCGGGCCGGTCCCATTTCTACATGACATCTGTTCACAGGAGGAGCTGAATGTGGCGTTGTTCCACATTAGAGACATGTCCAACAGGCAAAGGGAGGCGCAGAGGAGGATGGAGCTGCTGCAGATCGAAAGCAACAAGGATATAATTCCCCTTCCACACAGGTAAGGGTGCAGCAACGCAATGTTGCACTGATTTAAAGATCATTTTCCTGTCATTCTGTCATCTAAACCCGACCGTCTACGCTTATGCTGACCCACAGGTCCTGCAGCAGGAAGAGCTCCAGGTCAGACGTGCTGGCGTCGCCCGGGGACGAGCACATCTGCACGCCCAGCCAATCAGAGGTCGGCGTTTATCAGAGCTTTTTCCCGACTCTGCCTCAGGGCGAGTCGCCGCAGAGGAGCAACACGTCGACACAGAGTGAGTCTGTTTGCCTGTGCAGAAGTCCATCCATTCTTGGTAGCCTTGCCCCTCATGCTTTCTGGAGGTCTTTCGACTATCGTCTTTGGACTTTGGCTGATTTTTCTGTTATTTTTGTTCCAGTCTTTGGAACTCATCTTGACAGAATGATGCAGTTTGTGCAAAAATAACAAAAGAAGGAAAGTGGAGGGAATTGGTGGAAGTGTTAGGCCTAAAATAACAGCATAGCAGATGACCATTGCCATCTAAGATATGTCTTAAAACAAACATTAGCTATTGAGAAAAGCCCTGAAGCAGGACCAGAGAAATGCATCACACTTCCAGGAAAAAATATGAAACCAGTTTGATCATTTAGAAACATAACAAAAATACACAACAATTGAGTTTGGAATGTTATTCTTAGAGTCAGGTTGCTCAACAAACAGAAAAACTGTAATGGTCTGGAACTGGAGCTGTAATGACTGAAAGAACTGTCAAAGAAATAAAAATTACCCAACAAAAGCCTGGAGAAACACTGAGATAAAGTCTGGCTCCTTTGCAGCAAGCCATAAAGACACGAGAGAAGTATTTTTGCATAGATATGTACATTTTCCTTTTGCTCATGCTCATCTTTGCACGTCACAGCCTCCACTTCTGACCAGGAGGCTCGGCAGCAGCAGAAATTTCCGTCATGGGGAGAGAAGACGAATAACAGAGACCAGCTGGAAATCTGCAACAATCAGACTGAAAACAGTAAGAAAAATCTCTGTGAAACTATTACTAACCTCAAACAAGTCAGCCTGTCATAAGCATAAGCCCTCATGTTCTGAGGGCAAAAATAACTATCATTAAAAAAAAAGGTGTAGGTGAAATGACCTGTTCAAGATCTTCAGCTCTTCCCATACAAATGGAAAAAACAAAGCAAAAAATAAATAAACAGAAGAAAATGGTCATTTAAAAAAACATGAATAACAATGTATAAATACTCAATAAAGTTCAAACTGAAGCCAATAGCGTTGAGTTTCCATTTAAAATTTTTTACCTAAAACTACATCTAAAAAATGCAGCAACAAAAAAACGTGTCTGATAAAACCTGAAGGTTACAATAAAATTTTTAAAGTGAAACTCAACAAAGGCACGTAAGTAAATAATAGCAATTGAAATAATAGTAAATAAAACAATAATGAGCTATTTTATAAACTGGTAACGTGTACACAATTAATGATCAAATAGTGAACTAAAAAGCTAGTGATGAACTAAGTAATCATCTAAAAACCGAGCTGAATTGTTTGTAACTAAAAGCAATGTTAGTTGAAGTTACATTTCGTGATTTTATGTGTGCAGATAAGCGACAACAGGCCGCGCTGGAGCTGCTGGAGTCGGAGAGAGTCTACGTGTCCCATCTGTCTCTGCTGCTGAAGGCCAACATCTCCTTCAACGGAGCCGAAGCGCCGACCACGAAGGACAAACGGTAGCACACTCCTCTGATAAAAAGAAATCATTTCATGTTAACAGAAGGGACCCTTACCGAATAAAGAGGATCGAATCGAACATTCACCAAAAATAAAAACTGTGTTTTGTTGAGGTCAGCCACACCATTTTCCCAAACTGGCCCTCTGGGCTAATTTGAAGGCTTACGGTGATGGAACAACAGGAAATAGATAAATCAAATAAAAAGAAGGTCATAAACACTACCGAGACAGTGCTTGTTATTGTAATTGCCGCAGCACACACGTGCTGCCAATGAGGAGAAGCCCCAATGAAAGGCAGCCACCGCCGGACTCGGACAAATTGGGTTTGAAAATGGCTGCTTTCGCTTTAACCTGCTTAACATGTCGCTGTTTGTGGCGCGAGCCGCCGCACAGAAAACCCGCTCCCGCCTCGGCCTGTGAGGAGCTCCTGGATGTCAATGAGGAAGAATGTTTGGTCCACGGCAAAGAACGGCTTTAACCTCACTTATTTCTGAATGCTCACATTTGCAGAAAACTGAAATATTCGCCGTGTTTTTTTCCCCCGTCTGCTTGCAGGCCTTTCCCCAGCTCCTTGAGGTTTCTGATCCAGCAGCACCTGGAGCTCCTTCACACTCTGCAGGAGCGCGTGCTCAGGTGTCAGTGGCAAGGCATCATGGGAGACGTGTTCATGAGGCTCACTAGCAAAGAGGTAAGCACGGAATTAGACTACAGAATAATGTGGAAAAACATCGTTTGTTAATCTTTTTTAAAGAGAAGTCTGACCTGATGTGTGTTGTTTTAGTAGATCTCCTTATAGTGCCACGCAAAAGGCTTTACTGACAAATTTTCCTCATTTTGTCACAAACAACAATGTATTTCACTGGAATAGATTGAAGTCCAATGTATTTCATTGTACATTGTATTTTATGGTTTTCAAGCTTTCTCAAATAATTTTTGCTACTTAGTAACTTTTCAACCAAACCGCCAAATCCAGAACTATAATTTTAATCTCCTAATATGGAGCTTTAGAAAGAAAAAAAAAGTCAACGTGGAATATGTTCAAATTTAAAACAATCAGGCCTTTGTGTTCAATCTCAGAGCAGCTGCTAGTCTGTAGGGATGTCGTCGTCATCTTTGAAAACCGACAGACGACAAAACGGTTCTCTGACGCCCAATTGAATTCGTTTTATTACTTTGAATGATCACCTGGATCGGCAGAAATAATCAAGGCGTCTCTTGGTAAAATTACTGTTTTTCAGGAAATTTATAAGAAAACCAACATTTCCAGCAGTGTTACAGCCAAAGGTGAGGCTATAGGGGGTAAAAATCACGAGTTGAACAAATGAAAACTTTTTCTCCGCTCAGAGTGATTTCCTGGACTTCTACGTCTCCTACCTGAAAGAGCTTCCAGATTGTCTGTCCGTTGTCACCATGTTGGCGTCCAGCTCCATGAAGTCCGCTGCCTTCGTGGATGTAAGATTAAGAAGACAAAAAAAATGTCATTAGTGATTGAATGATGTAATACACTAGCTTGTTTCCTGCCACTGTCAGTGTGACGTTCTGGGGGATGAATCCAGACCTTCGCTTTACACCCTGCTCCTCCAGCCAGTCCAGAGGATCCCAGAATACCTGCTGCTGTTACAGGTGGGCTCTACAATGCCAGTTCATTTGAGTTAAATTAGCCTCATATTAAAAATGCAGAAAATGGTCCCATTTCAATTCAGGTACATTCATAACGTGGGAAAAAATATCCAACATTAGGGAAAATTGATTGTTTTGTGTTTTTTTCCCTCTCACAAAAACTAACTAACTTAGCAATAGTTAGGTTTAAATGAACTAGAACTATGCCAAAACTGTACCAGTTTGTTTTATCAACGCACATAATTAATCTGCATTTCTCACTTTACCTAACAATTGATCCACTGCAACATAACTGAAATAAACTAAACAAAATCTTTTAAGTCGTTTATATTTCTATATTTATGTATGTATTTGTAGGGCTTGCTCAGACAGACGGATGCAGATCACCCAGATTACTACCTGCTGCTGGTCTGCGTCCAGCAGTTCAGGTCCTTCACTGCGCAGCATCACCACCTCCTGCAGCACAACCAGGAGCTTCTGCTGCTCAACCGCAAGGAGGTGCAGAGGTCAGAGCAAACGCCCGGCACAGAGCATCGACACAGCCACTGGAAGATAGAGGACATGGCTCCCCACCCGGGGCGCCACAAACACATGTGGTGGGGTGATCAGTCAGCTGAACTCCAGACAAGTTTGTCTTTACAAAAAAAAAAAAAAACAAAACAAACATATGACAGTAAACCACAACTGAAACTTTAAGCTGATGTTGGTATTTAATTTATGCTGCTAAATCATCATCATCATTATTATTGTTATTGTTTTTAGGAACCTGAACTTCATTTCATCTAAAAAAAAAAAAAAAAAAATGACACTTTAAAATGTAAAATACTTGATTTGTTTAAATCTGAAATGGTTTTTGTACATAAAATCCAAATGATCTTAAATACAGTTCTGCATTTGTGTTTGCCTTTTATTCCATTTAGGAATAAAAACAACAATAATAACAATAAAAAGAGTATTTTCAAGATAGAGTAAAAATAGAAACAGAAACCTCTGATTGTGTTGTACCGTTTGTGGCATGTCGCATGGTTGGTGCTTTCCGGAACTTACTTCCATTTATAGTTTTACTTGCTTATTTTTGTGTGGCTTGGACAAAATTATTTCTCTGTGGGGATCAATACAATAATCTTGAATTTTAAATCTCGAATCCATCCGTCATCCACCCATGTTTGGGTGAGAAGGAGGGACTCACCCGGGGTGAGAACCAAGAACCCCGGCACTGCCAGGTTCTCTTTACAAAACCTTTAATTTATCCCCTTTAAAAATAAAGGTTTAAATCTGTTTGTCCAATCTGCTCTGCTCCACCAGCAGGTCCAACATGAAGCAGCTGTTAAAGACAGTGGATGGAGGGATTCAAACTAGCAACATTGGTTCACCTTATCCTGGCAGCAATGCAATACTGTGAGTGTTTCAACTGCTAACAGATCACTAGCGCGCTGCCTATTCTAGATCTCTGGCTGATCCTTCAAGCAAGTTTTACTGAGCTTTTCTCCTCAACAGGGAGCATGCCAACATGGTGAAGCGCCGGAAGCAGTGTCTCCTGGAGCAGATTCAGTCCCACCGCTTCCAGGACTGGGATCGCAGTCAAGATCCACAGAGTCACTGCTATAACGCAGAGTGGCCGTCCCAGGTGCCATTCTTCAGTCACAATCTGGACTCACGCAATCCAAAACAAACGGGTATGTGGTCGGAAGAGCTGCTGGCTATTGTGTCAGGGCGACTGATGAAATGAATTGAGAGAAGTTGATGTCCGGTCAAATATGTTTTCTATGTGTCACGTAGCTTTCTCGTTCACGCTCATGCTGACTATCTACCAAAAGTGTATCTGAGCACTATGAAGTTTGACTAATAGCCAACATAGTGCCAAAAGTCAGTGACACCACCACTGATTAAACTTGTTTAATTTAATTTCAACATGTTGGCCATGATGGAGAAATTCAATAACAGATGCGATATAAATCTTTGCCCTCAGAAAGGCTTGCCAAGCCATTTCAAAAACTTCGAGACTCCACTGATCCACAGCAAAACCCATTATCCCCCAATAGAGGAAATGTAGGACAGCGGTGAATTTGTGTCATTTGGAGACTTGGGTGAAGTTTCTTCTGTTTGGTCTTTTCTGGTGTGGAACGTCATTACAGAAGTGTTTCTTGATTCCGGACCTCGGGGACCAATGCCCTGTATATCTTAGATGTGTCTCTAATGTAGAACATCTGTTTCAAACATGATCTTTTCTGCAGAAGTTTGTTGCTCACCCACTTCTTCAAGTAATGCGTGTAGTGATAGGGAAGCACCTACAACATGCTGGGCAGCGGTTCCTGACGACCCAAATCGAGAAACACTGCAGTTGAGTAACTCTCCAGAATGCCTTTGGAAGTCTCGTAAACTGATTGATCAACATTTGGCCTCTAGGTCTTGGCAGTATCCCAGAAAGTGAGATGTCCGACAGATCATGTCAGCACAATCAGGTGCCCACCAGACCAGCTGAATTTCGTCAGGTTCAGCCCGGCTCAGCTCTGGCCGATGCCCTCGGGGAGTTCCTCCTTCCTCCCGATCCTCCAGGGATGGAGAGTCTCTATGATGAAGATGGGGTCTCCCTTCATGACACATCTCTGTTCGACCACTGTTCATCGGCGTCCTCAGACTCCTCCATCGACATCGCCTTTGTGAAGTGCCCCAAAGTCCCCCAGGGATCCCATCATGCGGTGGCAACCAATGTGCCGATAAACCGAGATGTCTTTGGCAACGGAGGAAGCCCAGGTAATGGTTACAGCAAACTACCAAACCGGGGTTGTGTGTCACCAGATGAAGCTGTAATGACAAAACACAATCTCCATCGACCACTCCAAGCCAGCCAGCGTAAGAGTAAGGTGAGTGCATCTGAGTAGATTGATTTTTCCGTCAACATGCACATTCCCATAAATAAACTTTTGCTTCTCCTCTGCTGTACAGTCGCTGAATGGCCTGCAGATGGAGAACACAGTGAGTGGTCTGGACGTGGGACCGCTTTCCGACCACCTTCAGAGAGTGGGGCTGGGCACCCACGCCAAGCTGGAGCGTCAGGGCAGTAAGGGCAGTAAATGTTCCACCCCGTCGCATAAAGTCCACAGTCCCCTGGGGAACACGAACAAACAGAGTCCAGATCTTCACGGACTGCTCAACATTGTGGGTATCACAAGAAATATAAGTGAGCAAATTCAAGTGCAGTTAGGGGTAATTTTTGATATGATTGAAATTACTTTCTATCTGCCCTACCCTGGCCAAGCAGGAGAAAAGGGGGTAAAAAAAGAGCTACACGATATTGCCAATAGTGTTTACCCCTCCAAATCAGGGTTGCCCCAAGTGTGTATGCAACTAGCATCCAGTTTTTCAAACAATTGTAAAAGAAGTGGTTGCTCTCAGGAAGTACAGAATTGAATGACAATAAGTTGGCAACAAAGTGGCAGGACATAATGTCACAGACCAGGTTACCCTTACTTTCCACAGTCATTAGCTGTAGTGAAATGACCAAACTTCATGTGACCTTCTGGTTTGTTCAACAACAGTAGATCGCTTCATGGAATGGGATTCCAGGTCATGAACTCAGACGCTTTAGTTCCAGTGAAAAGACTTTGTGATGCTTAAACTCACCAAGAGCTTTCGGACAGTTTGTGCCTTATCTCTTCTTATTTCAACCAGAGCAGAAGGTGGAAGTCCAGAAAGATGTTCAAATCCAGAGTCCGAACCTCTCAGTCCAACATCGTCTTCGAAACCAATTAGAGCAGACAGAGAGGAAAGACTTTTCAACTAACATCAGTGTGTGTGGGATAGTCAAAATTACCCGAAACACCCTCCTAAACCTTGTGGAAAGCAAACGCTGTCAGCAGGGTAATCTGTCATTTGCACCCGAAATGAATGTTCTGTTGCTTACTGGTCTATTAGGTCAATACAAATTGTTTTTCACATTATATAGGTTTTGTACATACACTATAGTATTAAAAGTATAAAAAATAAAATTTTTATCTTCTTGTTTTTTGAATAAACTAAATAAATCCTTGTTTCTGACCTGAGCAGGACTCAGGCATCCAGTCCTGGGCTGACGAGTCAAAGTGGAGGAGCACAACAGAGGAAAATCATCACACCCCCTTTAGCGAGAGGAGTCGCAAGGACAAGGGAGGCTTCAGGAGCTCGTTCAAGAAACTCTTCAAAAAGAAGTAGGCAAGGTTATTTACCACTGATGTGCTCTGTGAGTTTTAAAAAGGGCAAAACAAATATGAAGAAAGATGTCAAGACAGGACAAATAATGTCAGTGAAAGTAGAAGTAAATATTGTGCCGTTATGAGCGGCTCATAGAAGATAATTTCTTAAGCTTTTTTTTTTTTTTTTGTCTTCCAAACAGGGCTGCTGATGAGAAAAAGGAGAAGGGAGGAGAAAAGACACCGGAAAATCAAACCAGTGAACATGAAACGTCGATGAAAACTCCCAAACTGGTTCACCTGGAGATAAATCGTGGCACAGCTGTGTAACTTGTGCTTAGTGGATATTTTACTGCTTTGTATAAACATTGTATGAGCTACACAGCAACTTTCCACTAAAAAAAAAAAAAAATATATATATATATATATTATTTAAACACCACAAAATATGTTACGTTCAGCTGTTTTAAATTCTTTGCAACATTGAAGATGGATTTAATAGCGTCAAAACGACGAGTTGTAACTTTGTTTTCAGTCAGCTTGCGCTTTCATCCCATGACTGTAATCAGTTACAATTTCCTTTTGTTGCTTTTCTTTTTCTCCAACTAACTCATTCATACCAGTTTCAGCCTTTTAATCAGTAGGTTGTTTTTTTAAAAAAAACTCTAACTATAAATTCCTCTGTTCGTCTTTGTTACGCTTTATCCAGAATTACTGCAATGTACTCAGGAAACATTAACAGCTACAATGTTACACTGTGTAGAAATTACATCTTTCTTGTGTTTTTCCTGGACTAAATTTATCTTGAGAGAGAAATGCACTCAATGAAACTTGTCACTGGCTATTTTTCTGGCCATCAGCAGATTGTTGAATTATTGTAACGCTAAAAAATGCTGACATCCACTAGAGCTTTGCAACCTGAAACTGTTCCATGGTATTCACGGTACCGGACAAATGTTTTCATAATCCTTGAACTTTTGCCTACTTTAAATTTGAATGTATTTTAAGAGGATTTATTGTGGTATACTAGTACATGAGTGAAACAAACAAAATAAAAAAAAAATCAATAAGTTTTGATTAAGTTGAGCAAACAAGAATAATAATTAAAAAAAACATCTCAAAAGTGTGGGCAACTTTATCCCTGATAACGCGTTGCTGTGCTCAACGTTTTAAAACACACAAATAGTTTTGCAGCATTTTAAGCGCAAATGAAATTACAAGACAGCCGGAAGCTTCAGTTCCTTCTTTTTAATGTGTTAACCTGTCATCTCATAAATCTGTTACACTTCTGAAACAAAATATAGGCAATTATACAGTATGTAAAACAAACCCATTTTTATTTTACACTATTTACACTTTATAACGTTTGCATTGCATTATGAAAACAAAAACAAAAGTGATGCGGCGGCAACAGAGGAGACGTCACCTGCAGTGTTTTTTTGCTTTTTGCTCGACATCGGGAAGGAGACGAGGATCAAACGGAGTTTGGGAGTGGAAACACTTGAAATACTGATCAGCTAATGAGCAGGAGACAGGTGACGCTTCCATCAGACAGAATCCCAATGCAATGATATATATATATGCCACTTGGATCTTTTTCATCCAGAAAATTCACACATCTGGTACCCAAAACATCTTAAAACACGTTCATTCTACAGGATACTTGACTCAGGCGGAGCCGTTTGAAGACTTCACCTGGTTTCAGCATTTATAGGGTCGCATTAAAGAGGGAGGAAGTCGGAAACAGCATAATGTAATCGAACATGAACTCTTGATGGAGATTTTTCCCCGTGTCTGGGGGAAGGAAATGACATGTTGAAAGGAAAAGGAAACAACCGAAACAGTTTGGTCAAGAAAATCCACGAGCGATTCTAAAGAAAGAAAAAAAAAAAAAATTAAGTGCACTGAAATAAATTCAGACAAAAAATAAATTATGAGACAATATGTAGCTGCTGTGAGCTATTTGAGAATTTAAAGAGATTTAGACATGATTTGTTCAACACAAACCAGCTGAGATTGGACTTTTTATTTCTTCTGAAGTCTAAGATGAATCACAAGGTAGACTATCTAAATATGGCCACAAGGTTTAAGAACATATTTAAGTGATATATTAAAAAAATATACATACACCCGTCTCATCTGACATAAAAGAAACCCCAATGTTATTGAACCATTTTTTTTTATTGTTTGCTTTTTCTTATGTATGGTTTTAAGTGTATAAGGAACTTTGTAAATTAAACTCGGGCTTAAAATTAGGTTTAAAATAAGTTTGGCGTCCATCTCTTCAATGAGAGATTTCTCCTCCCAAAGGCTGAAGCAGCAAGTTTCATTGCCTACGAGGAACAGTAAGCCTCAGAAACACACCAGCAGGGGGCAGCAGAGGTCTTATTGGCTAAATGAAGCGGTTTTTACGTCTCGTCATGAGTGCCTCTCTTTGGACAAAGAGACGAGGATTAGAATTTCACAAAGCTAAACATTTTACAACGTTTTGAAATGTGTCGGGATGGAGTTGAAAACATGGCGCTCCTCTAGTCACCACAGAATGTCTTTAAGAGTTTCTCGTGACCAGAAATATCTTTGACAGACCAGTACTTTTTAAGCAAGGAAAAGTGTGAAAAACTGAATACACATCAGAAGCGACGCGTTACGTCGATTTACATGTGTTAATCGGAAGACATGAGGTATGAAATAGTAGAGTGGATTTTCCGCTGGGGGTAGTTTTATCAGAAACCTTGACGCTACGGACGAGAACAGATGGGAAAAGAGTGCTTGGGCGTGGCACTTGGGAGAGTCGATGGTGTGGGTTGGTTGATGTCAAAAAGGAGGGGCGCATTTTGTTGTCAGTGATGCGAGTTGCCTTTCACGAGATCAACTAACAAGGTTGTTTCTGTGTAAATTGTTCATTTACTGGGTTGGTATTTATTCGTTGCTGCTCCTTCAAAGTGACCTCAGCAAAACAACTAGACCGGCACCCCACACACTGCCATGGTCATACTCTGCATCTACAGGCACACACTGTGTATACACACACGCTATCATGACATCACGTATGAAACGCATTTCGTCTTGTTGTGCAAATTTCAAATACCAGTGGTTCAATAAAATGAAAGGAAACAATAATAATAAAAAGAACATAAAAAAGGACAATTTTTTCTGAAAAAAAAAAAAAAAAAACAGCGTTAAAAACTGGAGGGGGCAGAACTCCAAGGGATGAGGCAGGAAGTGACGCTTGCAGGACGAAGACGAGCAACCGCATCCTGCGTGTTTTTGCCTCTTTCCGGGGGGAAATGTCCGATTACTGAAGCCGTTCACCTGAAGAGAACCGAAACTCGCCACACGTTAAAAACAAAACAAACAAACGTAAAAAAAAAAAAAAAAAAAAAAAGAAATTTGAAAATCTGTGACTCCTCTTTGCGCCTCCAGGGTTCGACAGAGCAGCTATCGACACACGTATATACACAACCAGACTTTTTCTTTTAGTGTTCGACTTTGCCATTTAAAAAAAAAATGTATTTACAAGGAATTAAATAAAGGTTTAATAAGCACTTGTGTGGTGTAGTGACGGGTACTGGGGATTTATTGTTAGCAAAAGTGACAAAAAAAAAAAGTTTTTAGTCTGGTCTATTTTTTTGATTTTTTTGTCTTTAAAACAAACATTTTATGACAAATGAAGAAAGTCGTCCTTGTTAATAAAGTTACGCCATGCCACAATAAATAAAGGGACAGTTAAAACAAAAACAAAAAAATGGAGGAGAAAACAAAAAAAAGGGGGTCGGGGTGAATTTCTGGGGCGTAATGGCCCTTCTATGAAGCTTCGGCACAAACAGCAGTAGTATTACAAGAAGAACAAGTGTAGCGTTGGTGTTTTCTGGATGCTTCTATACTCCATGTGCAGTCTTGCAGGGAAAGGTGGGAAGCTGCGTCTTCACGCGGAGTGTTAAGACTCGTTGCTTTGACATAAACAAATCCGAGAGAAGTCCCTCCCCGTTCTCTCCCCGAACTAACGAACACCTTTCACATACACACGGATGCAGTTTAAAAGGGTGCAAACATCTGCATTCACAAATTCTCCTGGTCTCCCGGTCACGTTACCAAGCAGGCGGGCGAGGGGGGTTAAGCTGCGATGCTGGGATGAAAGCCACTACCGGCTCGTTTCGTTGCTTTCGTTGTTTAGACGGCGCCGCGGCGGGTGGTGCGAGGGTCGGGGGGTTCGGGGACTCAGTAGCTGTTCTCGTGGCCCGCCAGGATGTAGAGGTTGCTGTGGGCTGTGGGGTTGTCCGTCGGCCGGCTCTCCAACACCACCACCCTGAAACACACGCGGTTAAATTAAATAAAGCGAAACAAAAGGACTGGATTTCCATGAGTCAAAAGAGTAAAAGGAATGATAAAGGAACAGGATTTAATGTAGGATCGTCCGGTCAATCAGCAACCCATGGAGAAATCGGCTGAAGGATGTTATTTAGAGGAGGGGGGAAAAAAATGGCTGGTCACCCCAAACAACACCTTGGACAGAGTAATAGATTTGTAACGTAACACATCATCCCTTATTTGGACTCAAGAGGATCAGTAGTAAGGTAGACACCAGAATCTTCCAGAATGTTTAAGAGGAATTTGTTAAGAGACCCGAAAGATCAAAAACGGTGAGCGGTGCTTGTACCTGGGCAGAGAGCGGCCTCTGTCCTCAGAGTCTGGGTCTCTATCATCAGCACGTCTTCAGCGAGAAGGCAGCAGAGAGGATGTTAACGGTGTGTTTGTGTGTGGATGGCAAGTCAGACTTTTCACACTTAAAGAAATGCTTAAAAGTTGAACAGAAATTTCTACATTTGTTCCCAGTTTATTATCGTTTGTTTTTTTTACACAACTTCTTTGCAAGTGATAGTTTTATGTTTGGGACGTGTTGTGTGTTCTCACATGGCTACGTTAACACACATCGACGAGGACAAGGTTTAAGAGAAGCTGCAGCGCCTTGCAAAAGTAATCATACCCTGTGAACATTTTTCTTATCTGGACATTTTGTCATATTACAACCACTTTGATGCATTTTAGTGAGATTTTGAGGTGGTTTAGTACATTTCAAGCTTGAGGCATCCATTTTCAATTGGGTTCAAGTCCTGACTTTGGATGGGCCATTGTAAGACATGAAGCTACTATAATCCAAATTATTGGTCTCCAAAGTCAAACTTGAAAGTCTATTTTCCAGATTTATGAGTGTTTCAATTACAGTAAGTACTGTCATTTAAACAATTTTCTCTTGGCCTTTTAGTTGCTATAGATGTATATTGTAGTATATCTGTAATTGTTCCCCAATCTCTCAATTTTCAGATGATGGATGGAACAGTTCAGATGAGATCATCAAAAATATACTGTCCTCAAAAACAACCATCTGAGGCGTTCACAGAATAGAAGCATTTATTAATCTTGCGTAGTGATTCGTAAAGGGAGGTAAAAAGCAAACACATGCCATACTAAGTCATTTATAAAGTCCCAATAAAATACATCAAAGTTTGCCGTTGTAAAAATAACAAAAACTGAAAATATTCAGGGCACTTTTGCAAGGAACTTTGCACAGAAAACAGAGCTTTGCACTTTGTATTCTTAGCATTTTCTAGCTGTAACTGCACATGTCTGTCTGAAAACGTGCAACAGTAGAACTGGACGCCTTTCTCACCTGTCGGATCCCAGTAGTCTGAAGATGCGTGTGTTGTCACAGATCTCTTGCGTGATCTGGGAAAAAAAATGAAAAATGAACAGATTCTTCTTGATTCTCTACAGACAGAAAAAGTGGACAGAAATTTGAAGACTGAAATCTACAGACTGGTTAAAAACTCTACAACGAGTTCGTCTCATATTTCCACTAGGTTTTATTCTCTGTTTAGAGTTAGCAGTTAATCTTAACAGGCACGATGATACTGTTGCTACCTTCTCGTTTCAGAGCAAAACTATCTGACCGGACAAATCTAGAGTGATTAGTCAGGAGTGTGACGATTACATAAAATCACAAAGCTAGAGTTTTTACTACCAGAGAGCAAAAAGCTTATCGCCTTATTAGCTAGTGGTAAACCGCCACAACTCTACTGTGATTTTATTTTTTTAATTTCAGAGTGGAAAAAGCAATTTCCTCTTGGGGTTGAATAAAGTATATTGTACTGTAAAAACACAGGTCAGCTCTTAAAGATCAGACTAACCTCATTAGTCTTGAAACTTCGACCTTGCATGCCGTGTCTCCAGAAGGCTAGAACACTGTCCTGAAGACAAACTGCGGAAAAAGAAGACATTCATTCTGCTTTTAAAAAGAATGAGGCTTTTATCATAAAACTCAACAAATAATTGAAAATCCAATGCTGGACAAGTAACAAAAGGTTGAACGACAGACGTTAATTTTGTCCAATCAGGCGTGATCCTTAAAAAATGTCTTCCTTTGGAAACGTCTACTTCGTCTACAGACATGCTTATGTTGTCCTAAACTTTTCCTGCGCTAGAGGTCTTAGATTTTATCCATGACAAAAACAAAGTTATTTTTTGTTCTTAATGTGCAATTAGATACGATTCCTAGGCAATACCTTATATGAAGGGACGTGCATCAGACTGACATGACATTGTCATCAACATGGCATAACACCTGCTCTGAACATGAAGGAGTCTTTATGAATGTTTATGACTGTTGTCATTTGGTAAATAATGACACGTTCAATGCAAAGTTGCTTTAAAAGTTGCATTAAAAGTCCATTAGAGGAACCAACTTTGACACTTTACTGCAAATATGGCACTTTTAATGGACTTTTAAAGCAACTTTGCATTAAAAGTGTAATTATTTACCAAATAAACATTCATAAAGACTTCTTCATGTTCATAACAGGTGTCATGTCAGTCTTATGCACACCCTATCAAGTAAAGTGTTACCGATCGAATCGGTCATTGATATATGAACATTTCTTTAAAACAATAGAATATTTAAATAGAAAGTCATGTTTTTTTCACATTACTGTGTTAATAATTTGTTTCAAAAGCTTTCTTAATGAGCTAGTCTGTTTTCCGTCTGTTACCTATAGCTTCGATCTGGAAGTTGAAGGTGAGTTCAGCGGACAACTTCCGGCTGGACTTTAGCCGGCCCTGAAGGTTCACTATCTTTATACATCCTTGAATGACAAAGAAAGATGAGATAGAAGAAAAATAAATAAATCAAGAGTATGACCTATAAATGTTTCCAGTTGGTCTAAAAATGTAAAAGTTGAGTTGAGTAGAAGTTGCGTTTCTCACTGTCTAGGCAGACCAGAATAGTGTCTCGCTCCAGCTGCGTGACGTGGATCACGCATGTCTGCGGCATGTCTGCAAAGAAAAACATCAGGACCGGGTTTAGTTTCGACTCCAAAAAAAAAACACAAAAACAAACAAAAAAACACACAGAAAGAGCCACACTGCCCTGACCTGCTTCTGTAAACCACGAGGAGGTAACATTGGGGTTGACGGTGCCGAACCGGACCACCTGGTTGAGTTCGGTTCCTTTGCTGACCGCCACGCAGATTAGAGGGTACATGTGCTCCGGGACCACCAACATCTCAAAGACTTCCAACGGACAGGGCAACGGGAAATCGATGTTCTGTAGAGGGAAAAAGAATTAGAAATATGGGAGAAAGTTTGTAGACGTGAAACTGTCAGATAGCAGATTATATTTGTTAAGTCAGAAATAAGTCCTACATATGCTTCATCTTCAAATTTTCTATTTTTAAAATACTTGAAACTCTAGATTGTGCACATTTGAGAAAATATAATATAGCACTGTTTTGGAGTATTACTGCTTTCATTTGGCTTGTTATGAAATAAAAAAAACGGAAATCTTAGTGTCTTGGTCGGCACCTAACGGTTCAATCTAAGGTCAAAGTTTCAAGCTAAATCCCCCCAAAACTGTTAAATGGCCCTTTAGTAGGTTTATTAAAATATTTTTGAATGAGAGGGCAATCAGTTGGTCAAAAACATTTTCAATGATTAGTCAAACAAACTGTTGGTAAAACTCAGGTTGTGATGTGGCCAATTCAAGGCAAAACAACCAATTCAGATACAAAAACATTGGATTTATCAAGACAGCTAGATTTTTGTTCTTTATAAAACAGAAGTAGGGCCAAAAAGGCTGGAAAGATTTCTTTTCTAAATGTATTCAGATCTAAAAATAAATACCATATTTTTTATGATTTAAAGGAACTGTATGAATTCAAATTTAAGACTATTAAGGTAATTTTGAATGAATTTAAAAGCTATAATTCCACAGAAATGTACAATCTACAGGTGATGAATTTGCACTTACTTCATAGATAGACTTACTTACCAGCTAGATAACTGGCTAGCAAGGGTATATTAGCTAGCGTTAGTAGCTGTACTGGACTATAAAGATTAGAATCAAGGTTTGTTTTTTCCCCCATTTTATATATATACTAAATGTGTGTGTTTGTGTTTTATGTGAATAAGTCAAGTAAAACATGTTTTGCTTATCTATAAGACAAAAAAAAAAAGAGCTTGACATAATGTAGAGCAGTTTGGGACTGACCTTGATGAGCATGAACTTCTGCATGGACTCCACCCACTCCAGCAGCATGACACTGGACTGGAAGGCTCCACACAGGTATTTATGGCCGGTGTACGGGTTACGGACTAGCAGGAAATGACACACATTATCACTCACATGTCTTCTTTACAACCTTTGGTTTGATGTTACCATTTCCTGAATAGTTGGAAACTTATTGAATGAAAAATTTCATTGTGATTTTATTTTATTTTTTTCCAAATATTGATTTTTATAACGAATGCACATGTATACTACAGAGTTGTAAAATGAACAATATGACAGATGCTTACCCACACAACACTTTTGACATCCTTTAGTGTCTGGAATCTTATTGGAAACAGCAAACTTCCTACAATCAGGCACAAGCAGACAAAACAAGCTTATTAACCTGAGGCAAATATACAAAAACTTCATTCTGAATTGGCTACTTTTGTTGTTGTTAGCCTATTTAACTTCCTACAAAAAAAAAATGAAGAGATAAAACGGCTAAAAAGAAAATGGAGACTGTAAATAATTGACAGGTTGGACTTCCTGACTGTGACGTTACCTTGGGATAATCTTATCAGGGAGTTTGTGTGTGGGAATGGATACTGGTAGCTTCTGCAGCTGTCTGGCCTGTTCAAAGAGTCCAGACAGACTGTGGGAGTACAGCTGGGAGGCTTTTCCTGCAGTGAGACATTATTCATCATACACACCAGGTCATTTAAGAGTGACAAATCTGGTCAATTTAATGTGGAATGCAAAACAGCAGAAAGAAACTAACGAATACGACGTCAGTCGTTTGTTAAATATAAATGAGCTTCTTAACTCACCAGATATAGAAAGAAGACAATTGTTCATGACATACAACCATGTACACCTCCGAGGGAAGAGCTACAAACAAACAAAAATACTTAATTTATAACAATAGCTGCAGGAAAATAACTGATTAAGTAACAATGTTCTAGTTGGGATAGTTGTACAATAACTTGTGTTTCACAATTCGTCAAGAATTGTAATTTTTAAAAAAAAGAACCCAGTGTATACTTTTTCATCTACTTCTTGATCATATGAAATCCCACTTAAGCACATAGAGAAATACTTAACAAATGATGTTTTGCATTTATTATGTTGTGTCTGACCTGCTCCATCGTCGTCTCATGAAGCTCATTAAGGTTTAGCGTGTAGATTCCCTCCTCAGCTCCGAATATTAAATACTGATCTGAAGCCCAGAACAGAGAAAATGCTAAGATTTAACAAATTAAAGAAAAGGGAGAAAGAGACTACAGATTTACATTTATTGCTCTGGGTTTTCCTTTTGGTTACCTCTAGTGTCGGGATTGATCCATGATGTGGCACAATGGATCTTCAGCGGACAGCCATTGAATACTTTGGAGAAACAGGCGCCCATCTGTAAACAGGAAAGATGATCTATAACTTTATTCCTTATTAGCCTGACTTTCTTCTGTTGTCGTGGTGATTCATCTTTGCACCGTATTTTAATGTCAAATATTTATCAAACAGGATCATTTGGTCATTAACTATAAGAATAGAAGTTTAGGCGTTGACTGAAGATGTTTCTAGAGAGGGATGCCATTAAATACCAAATCTGTAAAAAAATGTGAGATAAATGCAGCTTTTAATGTATGTATTGTTACAGTCTTTGTTTTACTGCTTCAAAAACAGTACACTCCATCCATTTTCTTAAAAGACAAACAACTAAAAAACAATAAAACTAACTGAAATTGGCTCCACAAAATGATTTTACTTGCTTGGAAAACCCTGAATTGTGGGTATTATGTCCCATTGTGATCACAAAAGACACGGACACTTACATGGACTTTCGGTGTTGGAGGAAGACCGTTACTGATAGGCTTCTAAGTCACAGATAAGAAAAGAAACATTTAGCAGTGTGCTTATTTCAACAAACAGTTCAATACAATAATATTTTGTTTAATATCTAATCTGGAACTCAAGGTGAACGTTTACTTACGGGAACATCCTTCTTGTCTTTCCGTACAGGGACACTAGGGGGCATGGTAGACTGCCTCTCTCCAGGACTTTCCCTCTCACCATTATGGGGAGAGTTCAGTCCATTACCTAAAACAACAACACCAGCGACACAGCGGCTGAATGAGTGTGTGGCTGAGAAGTTTCAGACATATTTATTGGTTATAATGTTATAATGCAGCAATTTAACCTACTGGAGGTACTGGAGACAGAGAGGAATTATACAGGCAAAACAACTCGGGAGCAGAGAGCGGGGAGGAGACTAGCAGGAAGAATACAGAGTCAAATTGCATGAGCAATGAAGGGTGTGAATGCGCCAACTGCTTACCGCTGGGCAGCAGCCGACAAAACAACCTTTGCGCACACAAGACGATGCATCACAAGCTGCATTACAAGCTGCACCAGTGGCATGAAAAGACAAAAGACCTCTGATCTGCTGAGTGGCTGTGGTTCAAGTGTTGTCAGCACTGTGTGGACGGGCGGAAATAAATCAGCGAGGCCGAGCGGAGCGACTGAGGCTAATGTAAAAAATAAAAAAATCTGAATCCTATCCGCAGCACTTGTTTGTGAAGTTATTTCTGTTGCGACAATGTGCTGCTCAGACGCAGACAGGCCTCCAGAAAACAGTGATTATCTCCTCCTCTGCTGTTGTTCTGAAAAGTCATTTTTGGAAAGTTTGGAAAGCCTGCTTGTCTGAGTCCAATATCTCGATGGCGAGAAGGAATCCGCGAGGCGTGACCAAACCCTTGTTTTTACCCGGTCCTGTCGGCCCAACAACCCCATGCACAATGACACAGAAAGCCACACTCGTGCTTAAGGAAGCCTTTCCCTGGCCGGCGAAGAAAACAAAAGGAAGGTATGGCCTGTCAGAGGAAAACACAGTGCCATGTAAAAGTATTTATGCCCCTTGACAATTTTTATATTGCCACATACTTGACCAAGGTTCCACCAACTCAAACTTAAAACTTTTAAGACAACAACAAATTAAATTTAAGACCTTCATCATGACAGAAAAGCCCAAAAGCAATTGTGTATTTTTTTTATAGTAGTGCCAAGCTTTTTTGGATAGAATGTACATATCGTAAGAGTTGGTCAAAGGAAAAACAAATGTCGTCCAGCCACTTACTCTCCAATTATAGACACAAAATAGCTATTTAGCTAGCAAAGGTATATTAGAAGTAAGTTAGCCGTAGCCTCAACTACCTCGAATCAGAACGTAATAAGGATGTCTGAGTGTGACTCAAGCTTTTCACTGATAGAAATGTCAGGGAAAAGCTTCTGTTCAACAGAAGAACGAACTACATAGATTAAATAGTTTTGGAACCACAAAATTAACGTATTTAAGACCAATTTAAATATATTATCTTAAATTATAACAGATTTAATGCATTTTAAGGCCTTGATTCCAGTTGAATTTAAGACTTTTTAAAGATGTGCGATTTTGTTGAGATTTCATCTGACAGCACAACACAAAGTGATACAAACAATGAAGGATAAAAATCTAAAAATAAAAGTGAATTTGTGTTCAGTTTTCTTCAGTGAAAGCTTTGCAGAACAATCTTCAGCTGATATTCAGCCTCAAAGACTTCTGAGGAATATTTTGACTGGCGTTAGACATCGACAGGCTTAATTTGTTGCCCATTTATTGCGAAATAGCTCTGGCTCAGTCAGACTGGATGGTGAGTATCTGTGAATATTGATTCTAAAGTGCTGCCAAAAATTCCTAGTCATATTTAGGCGAGTATCTTTTGATCCACACCACTCCATTGCAGCTACAGTGGGGTCATTGTCCTGTTGGGCGGTGAATCTTCACACCACTTTTAGGTTTTTTGCCGTCTCTAACCCAACATCTTTGCATGTATCCAAAAATATTACATTCTGGTCTTTATTTTATCAGTTCTTCCAAGAGTTTCCTCTTTCTGCTGCACATGGTTTGTGGCAAACGGGGCTCCAGTAACTTTTCAAGTTCTGATGTGAAACAATTAACGGTACACACACTGCAAGGCGCAGGAAAAAACAAAGAAGAAACAACAACCAGTGCTTAAGACAACCAACATGATCAAACAACTAAAACAGCATTTTGATGACTACGTCAAACTAAGCAAGTTTGTGAGAATAAACATGTTTTTCAGATTTGGAACGAGCAATCCTTTTCATGCTGGAAGAAAACATAAAACATTCTGATTCACAGCTTGGAGCTAAAAACACACGATTCAGGAGAAACATCCCAGATACGCATCACACCAAACCCTTCTGAAATTCAGACCCTGGATATTGCTCTGCAAACTATTTTCTCTCTTCATTTTGCTGTAAAATATGAGCATCAACTGAATTCTTAGTTTCATCATATGATCATCTGACTCAGATTGAACTGTGACTTCTTCCTCCTAGAGTGAGGGAAAGCACTAGTAGCTTTTGACTTACTGGATTAAAAAACAAAAAAGGAAAATAATTAGACTTCAGAAAGGACGAACAGTAATACGGAGCAGGAGCTGATGAAGAGAAGGAGCTTTAAAGAAAGGGATAAAATAAAACTTAAAAAGCGTTGCTGTTAATGGGCTCATGGAACAGATACATCAGTTAGTCTATAAGAACAAGAACTGGCTAATGGGAGACCACAAAAAACAAAACAAAAAAAACAAAACAAAAAAAACTGAAGGGAACAACAGGGTCTGTGGACACTACCCGGCTACCAATCAGCTGCTCTTACTCTCTTCCTTTTCCTGCTCCTCTTTCACCTCCTTCAGCACCTCCCACGCCTCCTCCAGCTCCTCCTCTGTGTGAGGCGTGTGGAGCCACTCCCAGAAATGCCTAAAGCTTCCATCATCATCATCCTCTGGGGCAGAGCTTTCCAGGTCTTTGCGCTGCGGGCTGTCGTTACCTAGGCTGCTGCGGCGGTGGGGTGGCAGCTTCGGGGGCGGGGGCCGTGGGGGGACGCTGGAGGACGCCTTGGCGGGGCTCGGCGTCTCTGTGGCCGGGCACCGTTTGATGGTTCCCCCTCCGGCGTCGTCGTCATTGTGCAATTGGCCATCATCGTTTTTGTGTTGAGGCTGGTGCTGGGAGGAGCTGAGAGACTTAGGCTGGGAGTAAAATAAATTTATTTTTTTATTATTTGTAATTTTTTTCCGGCTATATATTAAGTTACAAACTGATTGAAAATGACAAGTACTCCTACCTTCGGAGGGAGTGGCGGTGGCTCCTTTGGCCTCTTGATCGTGCTTGATTTGCTGGGGAATGAAAAGATGGCTTTTGAATACAAGCGACACTGACTGAAAACCAGAATTAGTAGTGAGAGATTTTAAAAAAAAAAAGGTTTTTAAATGATTAATGCACTGGTCATGAAGGGTAGTTTAAACCTGCTCCATATTTCTACACATTGCGATTTAATTTTGTTATTCGTAGAATACAATTTGCCAAAAACTTTACAATTTTGTCACCTAATGTTTATTTTAGTACTTATTCTGCATCATGCAACTCAGGTGCACCGATTACAGTTTTCTAGCCAATAACAGATCACCAAGTAGCCCAATTTTGGCTGATAACATTGCATTTTATATTTTGTTTTTGGTCTAAAAAGTTGCTAAGTATAGCGACAAAGTCGCAAAATTGGCAACACTGGGGTGACTATTGTTAACTGAGCTCCTGAAAAAGCGACCAGCTGGAAGTGCGCTCAAACAGCCCTCTGTCACCGCAGAGCAATGGAGGACGTTTCTTGATGCACATTTTGAAGTATTGCATCATAAAAAGGGTGATGAAAACATCAAACTTCCAGTTTCACACACACAAAAAAAAGACTTACGCTTGCTTACGGTGGTTTTTGGCTTTTCTCAAGAACAGTAAATGAACAGAACTTTCTCCATTCGTCTTAGATATGTAGTAAAAAAAAAAAAACCTCTACATCTTGTACAATTACAGCCATATTTAGCATCAATATCTGACAAGATCACGTCGTGTAGCCTAGTTGATTCACTCCAAACCAGTAGATGGAAACATGGCTAATTTATATACTTTTTTGTTTTTTGCAACATTTTAGAAGTTCACTCAAAATTTGCACAATAGGATGGAAACAAGCTATTGAAAAAATCTGTTTCACATGTAGCAATTTATCGGTGCATCCCTTTCTCTGCTTTCCTTTTTGCTATTTTCATTGTTTCGAATATAATTTTTCATTCTTAGAATCAAGGTGACGTGATTTAAAGTTCTGTGCGACTTTGCTGAAAAATTGTAGCAAAGCCTGGTGCCTTCAAAATGTCTGACTTGTAGAAGCAAAGTACTGACAAGAAAGAAAAGGACGTTCATAAAGAACACAAGTACGGAAACAAAGAAGGACATGAAAGGACGGAAAGATATAGTGAAGAAAAGGGAAGGAAGAACACCATTTTTAGACAATGGGATATTGTTCCATACACTTATTTTGAACTGAAATCAAAGTGCATACTTTTCAAGACTTTTAAAGGCGTATAACAATGTTTTATGGCTTGAAGACCTTTTAATTTAAAGAGCCAAAGAGTTTTTTCTGGCTCTATGGAGCTACACTTCCCTAAAAGCTAACACTGTTTCAAACTAGAGTTAGCAAGCTATGAGAGTCCCATCTGTTAGCTAGCTGACTGCAGGCTAGCTACCTGATGAGGCAGATAAAGTTGTTAGTTGTTGAAATAATTGTTGCTTTTCTGCCTTAAATAAAAATATGATTAGCTCATGTTAAACATTTTTATTTTTAACATCAGTGTTAATATTGTGATACATAACAAACTGTGACCCTTTTACTCATTGCTAACATACAATGAGACTCATGCCGAACAGAGATACATGTTAATGAATAATGAGTTATGCGGAAGGCCAGAAATCATCATCGAAGGTGTCAGTGAATCAAATGAAAACAAATACACATGAGACAGGACACAAGCAAAATAAAAATGCTGTTATCACACAAAAACTGCTGGGATGTTTTACACGTACAAACAGTTAGGTCTTGAATTTTGAAGGAGCTGCTCCTCTGAGGTCTACTGACGCGTTTACAGAGCTCAAAACCGAAACAAGTGGAGTGCAACACACGGCCAATTGAGACAGGTCCAAGAAGCTCCCAGAGTAACAAACACATTAGGAGTCATTTACTCCACATGTGTGAAAACAGAGCAACCCGATGCAGCTGGATGCACCACTTTATAAACCTCCAGCGCTCATCTAATCTGCTTTGATCAGCAGAATCTGATATAGATAAGATGTTGACAATGACACACAGCAACTTGTTCTGTATTTCGACCAGCGAAAGTATTTGGATGGGGTCGGCTAGCATGAGGATAACAGCCGGCACACATTTTATACATGTGCTCATATAAAGGAGAGGGCCATCAGCTCAAGTACTCCTGGCAATAACATTGTGTTCTCGCTCTACAGATGATGCACTTAGTATATTTAACCCTCTTGGGTGGAGCTACTGCTGCCCAATTATACTTTGTTTTTCATGCTATGGATGCTACTACTGACTCAGAGATTCTTCTTTTATTTATTTATTTTTTATTTTGTTTAGTTGTGTTTCTTCTATAAACGAAGCTACCAAAGTAGCTACTACTGCCAGTTACTTTTAGCCATTCTTTAACATAAAAACCAGAAGCCTGGTTCCACTGTTAATTGGCATAATAGTTGACTTCAGTGTCTTGGTATGCAGGTAGCTAAATTTGAATCCGTCTATATCGTTGGGCTGACTTGACCATATATTTCTGATTCTTTTGCGAAGAAAATTTTGCCAAATGGAATTTGATTGCTGTTCAGTTACATTCCACGCCCCATTTATTCAATTCAAACTAAAAATACTTGATGTTGCACAGTAACATGCCCTACGTGCCACCATCGGTTGTTGGAAAGGACTGCTAATCCACCTCATTTCCTTTTGCTGCTCCTCTTTAAATCTCTATGCATTGGTGGAAAGCTGGGCAGAAAAATATCCTGGGATATGATATCTACCTATTACAATTGATGAAAAAGATTCCTCCTTCACTTGCTGTTCTTTTGTCCTGCTCTGCATCTATAAACCCTCTTTTCCCAACTCCTCCAGGATTAGAGATCATAGTTTAGGTGTAATTTGAGCTTTTGAGATGCTTATCTGCCACCTCCGGTAATGAAAACAACACCTTGTTGCCTTGGTTGCACGTCGCAAATGTCAGAATGTAAAGACATTACGAGCAAACGTCTTTCCAGTTGCACAGCATCCAAAACCAAAGTGGATAATTTTTCAAACATGCAATATCTTAACCCACTCCCTCAAAAAATTAACAGAAGTCTTTAAAAAGACAAATCAGAGCCAACATGCCCCCACCATGAACACTGTAATTCAATGATTCCTGCTTCTTGTTCTTCATGTCCTTTGTATTTCTCAGCTCACTGTGTGAGTGCTTTGTTACCACCTAAAATCCAACAACGTGCAAAGGGCAAAGTATCCATTTCCAAACGTGGTGGACAATATTGTAGAGGAGGAACACTTCGGCCTACCACAGTACTTTGGGTCTGACAAAAAAATAGAAGATCTACTTTTGTTTGTTTTTTTTACTGCAGGAGGAGACAGACATTAGTTTGAGTAAACAAACACACAGAGACGGAGCAAGGAGTCACAAATGATGATGCAAGAGGAGAGCAGAACAGCAACAAGAAAACTTTGCGAGGACCAAATGGTGAAAGAAATAAAACTGAACTAATATCTGATGTTGCTTCGAGTGAAACTTTAATGCTACTATGGAAATTACAGTGACTTTGGCAAAAAAAAAAAAAACCAACAACATTCCTTTAAACTTCCAGCCACAAACTTCATTGAATTTTATTGGGATTCCAGGTTACAACAAATAACAAGGGGAAAAAAAAGCAGAACTGCAAAATAGAAGAAAATGAATTTGTGGTTTTCAACATTTAGTTGTAAAATTTGCATTTCAATTCAGCTGACCTGATTTAACACTGTGTAGTAAAACCTTTCAGTGCAATTACACCCACAAGTATTTTGGGGTTGGTCTCTGCCAGCTTTTTACATTCAACAGATTGTGAAAAATTTTATTTTCTCTTGCTATTCTTAGAAAAAATATCAACAGCTGACCTCTGCACACTGAACCTCTTGGATCCTCTGAAACATGCTTTCTCCTTGCTTTTCATTTAAGGAGAACAGCCATGTCTTGGTAGGTTTGCATTTGTGTTTTTGTCTTTACATTGTCAGATGATGGATTGAACAGTGTTCTGTGCTTGGGATATTGTTTTATACCCTAACACTACTGATACGTACTGACTAAAATGTTAGCTACCCTAACGTTAAATCACTGGTCATTAGTTCTAATTGTGCTTTCCAATCAGTAATGACCTCACAAACTGCTCAGGTACTAAAAGAGCAACTTTATACTGAGGTTTAGATACAAACAGTTGGACTTTATTCACTCATTTATACTGCATTATATTTTTGGACATAACGGCCTGAATACAAATGCTTTCAGATTTTTATTTGTAAAAACGTTGAAAACCATACATCGTACGCTTTCCATTTCACAATTATGCATTACCACACTGCTCTTTTAGATAAGCTCCAGCTAAAATGCAATAAAGTTTGTGTTTGTCATGATGAAATGTGGAAAACCCTGACAGTATGAATATCTCTGGCCTTCACAGTAACTGTTAGTAGCTTTAAAACTTCACATCAGACAGCAGATGCAGTGAGAAAACACACACACACACACGCACACACACACAGGTGGCATGATGGTGGTTCGTGCTGCATGGAGACGCGTGGATGAAACTGTGGAGAAGACGAGAAGCCTTCCTCCTCGTTTCTCTCACAAACTCATCTTTTGGCCTTTGCGAGGAGAAAAAGATGTGGAGACAAGGAGAGAAAGGCTTCCAGTTTCTGAGACTGAGCGGGAACTTACTGAGTGTGAGTTTCATCATCATCTGCACCATCATCATCCTCATCCTCATCATCCCCTAAGTGTGCAACATGGCCCCTGGGAGAGGAGGGGAAGACAGGAGGGGACGATCGGAGGGTGGGGGAACAAGAAGAGGGGTAGATTTTGTTGCAGTGGGGGAGAGAAGTAATGGGGGGCAAGATCAAGCATATAGGGATGGGAGATGACAACAGGAGGAGGAGGAAGGGAAGAGGGGGAGGGAGAGCTGAGTAAAGCTCGGTTCACACACGACCTCTACGATCTAAACTCAGGGCAGATCTGAAAGGACTGAAGGAGTCCCTCGGGTTTAACTGCAACATTTCTCACTCCGTTGCCTTGATTGAAACTAAACACTTCACCAAATACTTTCTGTGGCCTCATTGATATCACTGGAGATAACTTATCCCATACAGACCCAGACAAATTCATTGGCACCCCAGCTAAAGATGTAAAAAAGGATATCTTAAAATAAATAAAACTTCCACAACATGTAGCAAAAACTCACACTGTACAACATCTGTGTTGATTTGGGATTTTCTGTGTTATGGATGATTAGACTGAATGACAACTTTTCTATTTGTCAGCAAATGTTATTATTTTAAAGGGGCAGGATTATGGGTTTTCCAGGCACATCGTGCCATTTTATATCACAATTAAGTAGTTATGGTAACTTCAGCGGTTACAAAAATGCTTTAAATGTCAAATATGACAGAAGAGATTGTACTCTGTAATTTAACGCCTTTAAATTGGGCCCATCTCTTCAAAAAATCCTGCTATTTTGGAAACTCCACCTTGAGCAAGGCGCCCCTCTAATAACTCTTCCAAAGTTTCACTGAGAAGTAGCTAGTCTGCAGGAGCTCAGATGCTAACCTGGAGCTTTGTAACCTAAAAGCTTAAGCGTAGTGTTTATCTGACCAAACCGACAGGATCAACTTTGAGTCTTTTTTTTAATATTTACATTTGTTTTGGTAAGACTAAAAAAAAAAGTTTTTACCTTTCCATCTTCCTCAAACAACTGGTTGTTATGGTGATCGCATCTAATGGTCATTGAGACTATATTTATGGAAAAAAGTTCTGAAATGTAAGTCATAAAAGTACCTAGAAATTTTGTTAAACTTGAAAAGGGTGGTAAAAATAAAAATATTACTTCCGTAAATACTACTATTCCAATTTAATGCCTGGAAAGGGGTACCATTAATTATGCGAACGGTAGTCTACTTAAAAACAGATTAACTTTATTTTTACCCACTCAAGAGAAGCACCTACATTTTATTTTTCCTGTGAAAAGTTGTTGTAGCAGTAAAGCCCATATTTTAACCCATCTTTGACCAGGGGTGTCAACAACTTTATCCACATCTGAATGTTCTCAAACAACTTTTGCTGTTCAACCAGAAATATTTGTCACATTTTCTTTTTACTAAACTCTCCAACACCTGAACACTTCTAACAGACCCAGAGCTACACTGTCAATACATCTGGGGACAAAGTAACAGCTTAAAGCTTAGAAAGTATTTTAAGCTTCAGTTAACATTATTTGGCTTTTTTGATATAACAACTGTAATAATCATCAATCATCAAAGTCAACAGTCCTGATATGTAACCAGTTATAGTGTCTGCATGAAGGACTTCTAGACTTTCCTGCTTAAATATGTATATAAGTGTGAATATTGCTATCAAATAAGAGCAGTTCTACATAATACAACAAAGTGAGGTCACTCATTTATTTATGCAGCCTCTAACTAGAAAACTGCATTTTTAAAAATGTAAAAAAAAAAAAAAAAGCTAAGATTTCAAAGGGACTTTTTTCTCCCGCAGCTCACAGAGTCTCTCAGAATATCAGAAAGCACATGAACAACAAAAATTATCATTTAAGCGCATAAGAATTTCTCCAAGGACTTGTCAGTACATTTTGGTAGAATTAAGTCAGTTGCATCTTTAAATGTGTGACTCACTGCATGTAACTGAATGTGTGTGTGTGTGTGTGTGTGTGTGTGTGTGTGTGTGTGTGTGTGTGTGTGTGTGTGTGTGTGTGTGCGTGTGTGAGCCATGCTCTCTGCAGGAAGCTCCTAAGAAATCCAGCATTTTGCAGTCGCAGCATAAAGCAAGCCACAGAAGAAAAAAAAACAAACAAGAGAAGCAGAACCTGGAACGTGAGAGTTGTGACAGCACTGAAGTCATTGTTATGACGCCATTAGTTGCGTGTGATTGGCACCGTTAGTCCTGCTGTTAAATGATTCGCTGATGAGTGGATGCGGTTAAAATACACACTCGCAGTTCAACACGTCGGTCCAACCAGAGGCGAAAAAAGAAAAAGGCTCGGACTCACCTCTGCTGAAGTTCCTCCTCGACAGACTTGAGAAGACTTCTGTTTAAGATGCAGACAGAAATAAGAGGGTTTTACAGAAAATTATTCTAAAATTAACACTTCGTCTGCGTTAATTTTCGAACAAAGTTTAGCCCACACTTCCTAATCTTGATAGTCTCGACGAGCCTACTGATTGAACACTAAAACATGTATAACAGAGGGAGAAATTCAAAATCATCTACTTACTTGTTTCCTCCGAGCAAACTTGGTGAATCCTGGCCATACTCCAACTGCAAGTCCTAAAAGGCAAAGAAATCACATCAGTACCATAGACCTGTATATCACATGCAATCGTTTCTTCAATAGAAGAACAAATTTTTCTGAGCAAGGAACCAAATAAATACCACCTTGGATTTAATATTTTATAGAGCCAATCCACTAATGCTAGTTTATCATTTTTTTTCTTTTGAGAACAGAAAACACTAATTGTCTTATCAAAATCCAACATATACAAAATTCATTGCATAAGAAAAGAATTATAAAATGTAATTGAAACATTTTATATAAATATTAAAAATTCATTTTAATATGCAAGACATGGACAGCAGGAGAAAAGTGGGATTAGCTTTTAGTAATGATTATTTTACAATCATTACTAGCAAAATATCTCAACTGTTTTCTTAAAATAATTATTACACTTATTGATATATACAGGAAAGTGAATAAGTAACTAACTACAGAAATAAATAAAGTAACCAAAACTATTTGAATTTTTCAAAACAACAGTTACACATTACACTTAAAAGTTGTGACTCTTGATTTGAAATAAAGGTCACTTAAAAAATAATAACTTGTATAATTTAACCATATTTGGTCACAAAACCTCTGTTTTCTAATAATCCCAAGGTGGACAAACTGAGATAGCTTAACGCTGAAATATATTCCAGACTTTCTGTTGACTATCTGAAGCTAAAACTATTTTTTTATTTTTATTTTTTAGTCTTAATTTTTTTATTTTTAATTGTATATGTCAACTTTTATTTGAAAAAAGCTGTAGTCCAAATTCAGGACCAACTCAAAACTACTTTAAAGTATTCTAGTTATGATTCACTAATTTTCAGAAGTAAGACTTTTTGATACCATAGAGTGAAAGTATTGATGAATTAGGAAGCTGGTATTAATTAGACTCAGCATATTTACTTCTAAACTCCGTTTTAAATCGCCTGCATCAGCTGCCATATATTTAGAGTGATAATATAAATCAGAAGCTGGGCTTAGGATCTATTAAATAAAGCCACAGAGCATTGTTGTGTTGCATAAACATTTTACAAGACAAAGAGAATTAAGCATGCAACAGGAAAGAACTGAAAAAGAAAATAAAATAAAAAATGGAGAAAATAAATCAGAGGTTCCGTGCTTGTAGTCAACTACAGCAGGTCAGAAGTTAGAAAACAAAATTCAGGTTAGAACAGAGAAGGTGAGAGTCTGTGAAGAAAAAGATCAGATATGCTTGGGGAAAAAAACAACAAAAAAACAACAACAGCACAACACAGCAAACACTCAAGAGTTTCAGCACATGTACAGTAAGAGACTGATGCAAGATCGTTTCACAGTTCCAGCTCTGTGTTTGACTTGGACCTCTAAGCTTCCTCTGTACATTTGTATGATTGTCACAGTGTGCATTTCATACACAGCATAACAAGAGAACAACAATAAACAACAGTGATAATCACGTGACAGTAACACCTGAAGCACCAGTTAGTGAAGCGGAAAGTCGGAAAAGAGGTGAAGAGAGAGAAACACGGACGGACCAGAAGAGATGACCGACATCGTGAGGATGGACGTCCAGAGCCTTGCAAACATCTTCATACTTATTGAACTTTCACAGTTTTTCAACCAACAACTTCAATGTAGTCAATGTGTTTCATTGGGATTTTTTGCGACAGATTAATGTACAGAAGAAAAATTATGATCAAACTTTATTTATAGGAATATTTGGAGAATGTGGCAGAAATTTTCGGCCCAACTTTACTATAATGACCCAAAATAAAACTCGGTAAAAGCGCCTCTGTTGTTCTGAGAAGGCCTCAAATGTTTCTTAGAGAATATTAGATAGCAAAGCGGCAGCACACCACGGTTTAGAGCAGATAAGTCCTTAAATCATAAATCAATACTGGAACTTTTGAAAACATTTCACAGAGCTTCATTCAAGCCTTCTGAATACAGAAGGAATGAGGAAGATCTCTAAACTACACACAATATACCGACAATAACATTGCATCGGCCGATATTAGTCATTTTTAGCATGGCACAGGACAAAGTACGGCACAGGATTGAGGGGAGTTTACCTGTAGCAGAGGTGAAGTCAGGGAGGAATATCCCAAAAAAATAGCGATATAATATTGGTAAATATCGGCTATCGTTTTTTTCAGATCGGTGCAGCTCTATTCTAAACCTATGAAAACAAGGCCCTCCAAAGACGCAGCTAAGAGGTATGGCTTTTATGAGAGTGGCAAGATGACAGCCATTGTCAAAAGACAGCCTGAGAAACTTGTTTAGTTTGTTACAAGCCACATTCATGATCAAATAACCCCCAAATCGAACAGCCCAACCACATCATAAAAAACTGTGGTTGTAGCACACAACTGGGCATGTCCAGACAAAATCCATGTGAGAAACTCGCTATTTGCAGAAGTCTGAAAATACTGCATTATTTTTCTTCCACTCCATAATTTTGTGTACCTTTGTGTCATTTATCAGAAGAAAAAAAAAAAGCCCCGTTGAAGTTTTTGGCTGCAACATGAATGAATATGTGAAAAAGTTCAAGAGGAGAGACTAGTTTTGCAAGGCACTGTAAATATATTTGAAACATTGTGCAGCTAAAAGTGAACAAAAAGAGAGACAACAGTGGCTTAGAGAGCAAAAGTTGGAAACATAAGGACAAAGACTTTTGCTTTTCATAAGAGATTACAAAGAACGAGAGGGAAAGTACGAAAGAGGTGGAAGCGAAGATAAGAGCTGTAAACTATGAGGAGGAAAAAAAGCCAGCTAGTATGTAGATAGACGGATGTCAAATAATGGGAGAGACAGAGGGAGTACTACCAGATTAGATCTCGCGGTATAGTAGAGCTCCTCAACACAGTCCAGATAGGGCTCAGAATCACACTGGTCAGCAAGACAGAGCGAGAGAGACCTCAGTTAATACATTAACCTGAACTTATATAGATAACAGAGAGGAAACGAGGCACAGGGGTGAGAAGGAGGATGAATGAGTGAAAAGATTAGGTCTAAAAACCAGAGCTAAAAAAGACAGAGGAGGAACAGGTGGGGTAATTAAAGTCAACAGAGGAGAAGGGAAAACAATAATAGAGGAGGATGTTATTTAATAACCAGAAAACCCAAAAGGAAAGAATCAATAACATTCAGTTAAGGAACACAATCTTATATCTGTTAAATAAAAAAAAAAGTAAAAAAAGACTGTAAACACATCCATTTATAAATCAAAAAGGATAATAAACAACTGTCTCTAATCGGCTATGAATAAATCTTAAGCCTTTTCTTTATTAAAGTTACTAAGAGTTCAAAAGCAACAACAACAAAAAAATAAAAATAAAAAAAGCAGGACTGGGTCATGATTCTGTCTGATGGAGCATAAGGTCTGATGTTTGACTATATTGTGTTAAAATGGGACTGAACTGGATGCATATATCTGGATCTTAATCTGATTGGTTAACTGCGCAGTATTTGAATGAACCGGCTAGTGAACCAATAGGATTCTCTGTAGTTAGATATGAATGGAGCATTTAAATGAAGGTCATTATGAACTGCTGCTATGTAAAGATTGCTTCAGTGTTTCATTGTGCTGTCAATTTGGTCTGTAAAGAGAAGTTATCAATTGTGAACGTTTGCGATGAAGAAGAAAAAGCTGAAAACAAAATATGTTACAAGTTTCAAAAATAGATTTGAAACTGAAAAGAAAATGAATACATTTGAGTGAATGTGGCGCTAGGTACAATGTGCTATTATTTAAATAAAATGCATGGGTGAAGCTGCACAGAAGAAAGAGAAAGGCAGGGATTTGACTTAATTATAGATCGATTTTATTTCAGCCAACTAGAACAGACACAACAGAGGGAAAGGTAGATATGAAAGGTGAAAATGTGGAAGTAAAGTGTCTTGTGTCTGAAAGCTGCCCCATCCCATTTGTTTTCCAACAGCAAAATTCAAAAGCACCAACCATTTCAGGTAGTCTAAAAACAGTAGATTGAGACAGAACGTATTATGGTGTGTTTCATGTTCCTCCTCAAAACTGTCAAACCCAAATGTGTTGTTTAATGCAGAAATGTGCTTTAGCGCCAGAGAAATGCACCATTTAATTTGACAACAGGACAGACTTTGTTGGGAGTTTTTTTTAGCTTCAATGCTTCAAAGCAGCAATTAAAGTTGTAAACAGTCACATTTGAGGCTAGCAGTGGGCCATATCCTTTTTTTCCGTCTTAGAAATGAAACACTCTTTAGGTGTGATGTTAAATCCAAATCAGAATTGTGGGTTTCCCAGAAAATACAACAAAGCAATAAACTCAGGCTGTTTCAAAATCCCTTAGATGAAGAAAATCACATCGACTCCAAACTAACGTGAGTAAACTTTGGGTGGTTAAACCTCCTCCTAATGTGCAAAACACTTTTAACCCAGGCAACTAACTAACCTTTCTTACAAATGAAGTACATTGACTACAGTAAGTAATTGTATTTACTTACTAAGCTAACTTGCTTACTTTCCAAAGTTACTTAATTACTAAGCTTACTAACATTCCCTACTATCTAATCTTACTTGTCAGTGAAGTAGGGTTGACAAGTAACACTTACCGATTGACTTGAAAACTTTAGTTATCAATCTTACTTACCACCTAAACTTATTTACTATTCATATTTGCTCATGAACTAAACTTATTTATCAAACTTCACCTAATTCAGTTTGTTTACATAGCGCCAATTCACTACAAATGTCATCTCTAGGCAAAAAAAAAAAAAAATCAGTTCAATTTAATCATACATTCATTTTCATCATTTACTCATTTGCTTGTGAGCTTTATCAACTTGTTTTAGCTACATACCTACAAACTAATCCTGTAAACCTTACATTACTTACTCACTTTACATTTATACACTACTTAGCCCACTAACTTTGCACTCACATTCACTGTAATTGCTTACTAACCTAACTATGCACACTTTCAAATATTACTAACTACCTTTACTATTATCCGCTTTTCCTAAACCAACTTTCTAACTAATATTGTTTACTTGCTGATCTCATTTACCTGACTTGCTTGTCAACCAATCTTCCTAATACTAATCTCCCTAAAGAACAAACTGTTCTTACATGAACCAAATCGAAAGAATTTCAAACAGGAAAGATCAGAGACTATTGACAACATATTTTATATTAAAAAAACCAAGAAAAAAAACAGCGCATATACGGTTCCCTGCGGAGTGACAGAAATGAGTGCTTCATATTACAAGGTTAGAAACAACAATGCAGGTGCAATTCACACCACACGGTCTCGTTCACATGCATACAAATATAAAGCCACGCCTCATTACTCACCGGCTCGTGATGAGGTTCTGTCTCCTTTCTCAGAAGAGGATCAAACTTCACTTGTCCGACTGTGAAGGGACAATGGAGAAAGACAGGGAATATGAATTTGGCGGATGGACATGAAATGGGAGAAAAATAAATGAAGACAGTGCGCTCTGACTTACAGTTTATCTCAGACAGGGTCTTTCCTTCCCTTGTGCTTCTGCTGGTGGAGCGAATCCGATGAGGAACCGAGACTGGAGACTAAAAGTAAAGAGCAGAGCAGTTCAAATGTTAGATATGACGTACAAGTTTACTTTGCACTTAAAGACTACAGCTGATTTTAAAGAAAAAGCCCTAATCCTTCTGCCATTTCCTGTGGCACAGCATTCAAAGACACTGCAAAAACAACTAGCCACTGCTTTTGGCCAGATACCAAAAATGTAGCAACTGAGTCACTGAAAAACAAATCTTTCTGGACTGGTAGCATCAAAACTTTTGTTGTCTTAAAGGTTCAAGAAATGCAAGGTTTTTTTTTGTTTTTACAATTACACAGACAAGCATATCAGTAATTTTAAGGCTTATTTCCCCTCTCAACCTCCAAGAATTGAAATAAAAACAAATTTTATTTAATTTGATATGTTATCTTACGTGTTTAATCTCATGAAGTAGATATATTTTTTCACAGAAAAGCTAAACACACCACAAACTCATGCCATGCCAGATCAAGGACTGGAGATCTCAATCCAAAAATGAAAATAATCATAGTCATCAATTAGATTCGTCAATATTAAATTCATTCTCATAACTGTCCCTTAAGAGTGGTTAGGAACTTCAAGAGGAAATGTGAGATGAAGATGGCTTCCTAACCTAAAATATAATTTTTACCTGCAGGTAACATGGAGATCCATAAACTTTATCACAAAAGCTTCTTTAAATTTTTTATGCTTTGTCTCTCATAATTGTTTATGGTAAAGCAACAGAAAATAATGCATAATTACTAAGTGGAAAGAAAAATAATAAATAGTATTTTATGGTAATACATCTGGAAATATGGAGAGAATTTATATTTGGCCCCCTTTACTCTGAAATGCAAATAAAATCAAGTGCAACCAAAAATCACCTAACTTATACATAGAATTAAGGTGTGTGCTACAATCTCAATACAGAGTTTTAATTTTGCCCTGTTCTTGTTAAATGCTGTTGTCTTCACCTGACAATGAGTACACCAGCCCCTCAGTAAAATATGGTGATGCTAGCAACATGCTTTGGAGATACTGTACTTTTTTCCAACAAGGACAAAAAGATCCATTGCAGCAAACGCTTCACCTGATTGGCTTAAATCAAAGCACAGTCATGTGTTAGGACGGCCAAGTCAAAGTCCAGGCCTAAACCCAACTGAGAATATGTGGCAAGATTTGAAAATTGAGATTCACACACAATGTGCAAAGCTGGTAGAGATGCATACCAAAATCAACAATTGCTATAAAATACAGCCACAGAGGTTGGATACAAATTCAAGGGACACTTTAATGATCTTTATATCTTAAAAGTTGTTTTTTTTATTTTTTATTTTAAATAGATTTCTGTCAAAGGTTAGAGTTGTACATATATGACAAGTGAGTGATTCTTTTAATCGTGTCTATAAGAAATCAATTTAGAGAACTAGAACATGTGAAGCTTTGGAAGCCGTCTTCATCAACCACATCTTCATCTCAGCTGCTGTTCTCACAGACCTGGGATGAATTACAGATGTTTCCTTACACATATAAGATCCCTAAAAGAGCTGCCAAAAAAAGCTCACTGATGTGGCCATGGTGAGTCGATAACTGAGAGGTTGTGGCAATTTCTTTCCGGGAAAAAATAAAACATTTTGACCCCGGAATCATGTATGGCTTTAAGAAATTCAACAAATCAAACCACAAGTTAATAAAATGTCAAAAGGACTGACATACTGACCAGAAAAGGTAGTTAACAATCAGCTGACACTCAAATCAGCACAAAAAACCATGAATGCTTAGAGTAATTATGCAGCTGCATGGGTAATCCATGAATGCGTCACATGCCAGAGCCGAACTCCATGACAACACAAGTATTCAGAGGAAAGAATGGAAATTCTCAACTGTGTTCAATCGCGGCTGTAGTTCTAACTCAGAAGCATTTTCAAAGAACAGACAGCTTGTATTAGAAAGACATCACTGCAGCCAACACGAGTACCTTCCTGCGGGCTGCAAAGCGGGGTGCGCGTCGAGCACCGGGGCTTATGGGGAGGAAATGACCTCTGTATTTAAACTAAGTGGGGGGAAGGAGGCAGGGATGGGGAAAACAGGAAAAAAAATGGAGGAGAGAGGAAATGTGAGGTAAAAGACAGAGGAAAGAGAAGAGTGTCAAAATGCGAAAGAGTAGAGAAACAGGGGAGAAGGAGAAAAAGCAAAGAATGAGTCACATAAACAAGGGGGGAAAACAGAAGAGTATGAGGAAAGAGGATATGACGGCTGGGGATCAGTGAATAGCCAGCTGAGGAGACATGAGGACATATTTTAAGAAAGAGAGGAAAGAAGCAAAATTCAGCAAATCACAATCACTTCCTTACTGATCTGCTTCTTATACTTGGCAGCACTTTAGTTTTCAAACAGACGGAATCCCAGAAGGTAAAAGGTTACCTCGGGCTCAGGCTCGTCATCATCGAAGTCGTTGTACGTGCTGTGGTCGGGGTTGTTGGACTTGTCTAGCAGCTCGATCGCAAGCGTCCTGCTGAGAGGCTGGGAGACGAACGGATGCTGGAGGAGAGACAGGAGACGGAGGTCAGCTGAGGGTGTTTGCACACCTGGTAGTCCAGTAGATTCAGTTCAATTGGGGGGGAGGAAAAAAAGAAGGGCGGATGCAACATTTCTTGCATTTTCAGCTGCGGTTGGCTTTCACACTGCAATGTATCAAGCAATCTAAACCAGGGGTGCCCAAAGTCAAAGTTCGAGGGCCGGCATCCTGCATGTTTTAGTTCTCGCTGGCCCACCAGGATGCCACAATCTAAACCTACCAAAGATCACCTCCTCACCTGTGGTGGCGCTGCACTGCTTAAGGAAACGACAGAAACGCCTCTAAACTTAACAGGGCTGATGTGAATGCGTCTTACGGGTGCAGGGTGTTCTGGGTAAATACAACCAAAACAAATATGTGTGTTCAGAGCTAGTGGGAGAAATAATAAGTGGTCGACCTAAATCCTATTAGCTCTAAAGTCTGGCACCACTCCATTTTTGTTTACATTTAGCAAAGAAGGAAGTTTAATGTCTGGTTTTTCTGTTGTTTCCTTCAGTGGTTTTTGGTGCAGCGCCCCCTCAGGCTAAAGTGGGAATGAACAGGTTTAAAAAAGGTTTTGGATCGTTTTGACACAGTGCAGCGTGAAAGTGAACCGCACCACCTGAAAACACAGTTTTGGTTCCCAATCGAACCGAGTCAACAGGACTATCAGGTGTGAAAACAGCCCAAAACGTTCTTAAGCCTTCCACAGAATCAAATATCAAGTACTTTAAGCATTTTCAAGGGGAGTTTCTACGATTATAACACACGTAAAGAATAGCATAACAGTAATTTAATATGTCTTTTCAGTTATCGACATATTTCAATGTAGAAATTTTAACCTAAAAACACATCAAAACTTGATTTCATGACTTTTAGACAGGACGAGGATTTTCCTAAAACTGCAACTGATATAAAGTCTTGCAAATAGAATTCCAGGTTATTTTCTTGAAAGAAGTAAAACTATCTTGTCTCATTTCTCACCTGCAGCAGTTTCTCTGCTGTAGGCCTCTTCTTTGGATTCTTGGTAAGAGCTAGTTTCACAAAATGATGGAAGTTATTCGTCCTGTTTGTCAAGACCAGAGAAGAAGACAAACAAGAACAGAACAGAGTTAAACGTTTGACCCTCAAATAGCTCATGCCATGGCTCTGATGAAAACACCAGCAGCTTCTTTGATGAACATGAAAATGCTAAAGACGTCAGCGACTCTCACCACTTGAGTTTATCTTTCAACTTCGGAGGCTGGAAGTTACTCTTGGTCATCAAGAACAGAGCCCTGGATGAGATGAAGAGGGAAACAAATGACAGGGTGGAATTATGCACAGTAGTTATCTTGAATTGTGCCCAAAAAACTTTTCAAAAATCATAGAAAAAAGGAAAAAACACTTTCTCAAAACAGACATAAAGCAATATTCCAATCTTGACCAGACCTTAAATTTTGTTCAGTGTTTTAATTTAAAAAGAAGAGTCAGGGTCTATTCATAGTCTGCTATAATCAAACTCTAGTTTCGGTCATGTTGCTTTGCGAAGGTGTGAATGAGCAATCGAACTCTGAGGCGGGTCAAAAAAAGCGAACTTCGGGCTCAGTTCGGTTGACGTGAACTCTGCCGCGGTTCGAATGGGTATGTGACCGCCAAGAAGACCAGAGACCACTTCAAAAGCAGAAAGTGTAGCAAGTTGCAGTGGATTCTGGGTGAATACAATCAAAACTAATGTGAGAATCTGATGTTAGAGGGACAAATGACTCGTGCTCTTTTACCAAAGACAGCAACTAAAATCCGATACTACCTCATCTTTGTTTACAATTTGCAAAGGAGGATGTTGCACTCATGTCTTCTTTGAAGGCTTTCATTTTGTTTCCTACAGTAGATTTTGGTGCAGTAGCCTCACAGGCAAGGAGGAAGAGGAGAACAAGTTTTCCAATTAGTTGGAATTGTTTGACAGAGAGCAGCAGCTAAAAATCTAACAAATATTGCAATTTTGGACTCTCGTCACATTGAGTCACCCTTCAAGAACAAACTAAACAGGACGTAATATTCTAATCAGCCAAACAACTACAGCTCTTTTTTTAAATTCAGTATGTTCTAATATTGTTTAACAAGAACAAGAACACACAGCCATCACTACAGCAGTTTGTCAATAATAAACTTGCACACACACACACACACAGCTTTACCTCATCGGGTGTAGGTCAAACATGGGCGGCTGTAGTTCTGCCAGCTCAATCGCAGTAATGCCCACGGCCCAGATGTCACACAGCTGATTGTAGCCCCCCTTCCTCTCCACTGCTGCCACCTCCGGAGCCATCCTAAATTAGGAGAGAAACCCATAGGGGAAGATGAAAGGATACAGTCGTAGAAGCTAAATATAATTCCTTTTTGTTCTTATAATAAAAAATTAGCATATTTCTCCCTAAATCCCTTGTTTAACTCTTCAATGAAAATATGACCAAATCAAAACATAGCAGCAGGAAGAGGCTCGTTTACTGACTAACTTCACTCTACCTGCACTGATATCCGCGTATGAAACTCACCAGTAAGGTGTTCCAATGAATGACTTTCTCTTGGCAAGAGTGGCTGTGATTTGGGCTGACACTCCAAAATCAGCTATGGAAATTAAAAGGGCATAAGAAAAATAAGCCAAAAGAAAACCGATGTTGGTAAATGAAGTTGACCTTACTCAGTCTTTAAAAACAGAAGATAAGAGTCAGATCTCACCAAGTTTAACGTAGCCGTTGTCCGTCAAGAGGATGTTGGCTCCCTATAAAAGCCAAAGATACCACAAAGTAGCAAAAAACGTTCTGCTCCACAAAAAATACTTATAATACATAAAAATTTATCTAATTAACTAAATTAATTTCCAATTAACTATAATGCTTTTATAAATTATACAATAATAATAATAATAAAATATCTTCTTAGCCTGAGATGAAATTAGCCATTAAATGTTTCATTGACATCTATAAAGCTCTATTAAAAAATCATTCACACAACATTTTAAAGATTAAAACAGGCAAACTAATTAAAGTATCTAATGAAATTTTGGTAAAGAGTTGATGGAGCATACTTTAGTTAAGGCTCACCTTAATATCTCTGTGCATTTTGCCTTTATTGTGTAGGTAGTATAAACCCTGTGAAAGGAATGACGAGGTTACTGATGTCAAACTGAGACCAAAATATGTTGATAGAGATAAGGCAGTTGATTAATTTCAGTTTTAGAATAACAACATTGTATGTGTCTTTAGAAGGTTTCTCATAAAGATACATAAGTCCTCTTAAACAAAGAGCATGAGCGCAGGCATGCTGTCTGAAGCAGAGCAGTCGACAGCGATGATGTATGTCTATAATGTGCAGAGTGTAAACATTACCTGCAGGGTTTCCCGCGACATGTAGGCTATTTGTGACTCTGACAGAGGCCCAGTTACTGAGAGAAAGAAAAGAAAAAGCAGTTGCAAAAAACATTTATGCGAAAGACATTTTTACGTCTTTAGCATACAAAAAATTATGCTACAGACATGGATGTAGATCTTACCATGATATATATCCTGCAGAGAACCACCTCCACAATACTCCATGCTGATCCATAATTTGTCCCTTCTAAACAAACAAAAAAACATAATATTGAATTTGGCAGCTCACTCTGAATGTCTAGCAATCAGATTATAATCAAAACATGCAACTTATTAACAGTTATCACCAACTACTACATATTCACATTCTTACCTGAGATAGCTGCCAAAATAGGCAACGATGTTAGAGTGTTTACAATCCTTCATCATTAAGATTTCCTGCTGGACGACAGCAAAGTCCTCCCCTGCAGTCAACACAAGCGTCATTGCAGCGATAATTAACTGCCATGGTAACACTACTGCTTATAACACAACTATTTAATGAAAGAGCAGATAGATTGAACTGAAACAGAGAAGGGAAAGGGAAAAAATATGGAGGGGGGGGAAGGACTGAGGACCGCTCTTCTCGGAACGAGAAGTTGATAAAGAAACAGAGAATCCAATATAGGGACAAAAAAGGGAATAAACCAAGGCAAACATGAGGCAACTCACCCGGTTCCAGTTTGATGACTTTGATAGCAGCCAGCTCCCCTGTGTTTACGTTACGAGCCTAAAAGAATGAAAAGAGGAGAGTCTGATTCATGGTTCAAAGTGTAGGGGAAAACTTCACAGCAATGACTGTAGAATGTCAGGGTAGAGACAGAGCAGATAATGGACGGCGTCTATTCCTTTGCTTCAAAACACCAAACGTCAGGTATATTCAGGTTTAGTCAGTGACGTATATATTGTCATAGAAATCAGTTTCAAATATATTGTCACTGAAACTCACTAGTGCACTGAATCCTGATGACGACCAACAGGAGGGAAACTCAGAAATCTGATCTTCTGACCCTTTTTAAAAATAATATCACAATATAGTTCAGATTTAGTGCAATCCACAATATAAAAAGTATATCCCAATAATTAAAATCAACTCTGTAATGCACATATTATCTCTGTCTCATAGCTTAACTTTTTTTCCCAACTGCAGGAAAAATAAATTGTCCAGCTGTTTTTACACATCATTCAGCAACGTCTGGCAACATATTGTGGAAAAAAAAAGTACATAAGACTTTCCTACTTATCTTCAAAAAGCAATAACTCATGATAACTATACAACCCTTAGCCAGTTATCAGAGCACACAGATCCTGAGCTGTGACAAGACCTCCAAATTACCTACCAAACAGTTCACACAGCATAATGGTGAACAGATGAGACAAAGACAAAGGTTCAGGGATCGGTGACGGAATTTGAAACACATGCCAAAAATTTTTGTACAAATTGAAAACTAAATAAATATTAAGGTAAGATAGGTCATATAATAGTTATTTCTTGAAAAAAAAAAAAAAGCAGCACAGACTAGAGAAGACTAAAAGTGTCTTTGTGCAAATTAATTACAGCCATTAAAATTAAATTATTTACTCTTAGACAGAAGCGGAGATGATAAAGTTTGTCATCCTGTCAAGTTATCAGGTCCTGCAAACCAGATAACTGCAACAATAACACTCTGTTTTATACCGATTGCTCTTTCATACACACTGTGTAACATCACCTCTGGACCTAATTTAAACGGTTAATGACCGATGATGGTAAGAGGGTGTGAAGAAATATTTTGAATACAAATATTATTGCATCTTATATTACAGTTGTGAAAGAGAAGTTTTGCTGGGAACTAATACATCACGGACTGCGCCACAACTTCCATGGTGGATGTAAAGCTTCACACTGTAAACCGTCAATTCTACTACAGCTGTTATTTTCTGTATTTATTTCCTGAATGGTGGCATTCCTCCTGATCTATATATTATCAGGATGTTTGCAGAATCACCAGGAATATTTAGGATTCACCAACATGTGTTTGGAGCCAAGGGCAGTAAAGTTCCCACATAACTCATTCATATCCTATTACAGCACACACAGATTGCCTGTGGGAGTGTGTGTGTGTGTGTGTGTGTGTGTGTGTGTGTGTGTGCTGTTAGAGGAATGTATGGCTTTTCGTAGGAATGTGGGATGCATTTTTTCTTTTATTTTCCAGAAAAGTCTGAATTTGTCAGGAAAGAGAGAAAAACAGAATACAGAGAGTAACTTTTCTATAAATAGTGAAGTAAGTCTATATTTAGCGCGAGTGCTAACGGCGCAGGAAAAGAATTATAGATAAGGCACATAAATAAAAGATGGGCTTTCAGAGGATCTATGAACAGCCTGCTTCTTTTGAGTTCCAGAGTGTGAGCATGACTGTGTGAGACGAGGCAGAAGTGGGTATGAGCAAACGGAAGAGACATGAGCAGATGATGTCAGGACCCGAAAGGTGTGAGAAAAATTGAAACGGCCTGAACAGCCTGAGAGCAATGTGTCATGTCTCAACAGCCTTTGTTGCATCTCTGCTCCAGTTAAGGATCCACCCTGTTTCTGGCCAAATCCCTGAATACATATTTACCAAATGTACACATTCAAATAGCTTTTATGTAGTGAGAACTGCCTCAAGGAATTCGTTTGCACCCCAACACGTCCAACAACAATTTAAACTTTACTTATTGTTCAGTTTCAATAAGTTAAGACTTTCTACAAAACATTTTTCACTGTAGGACTAGTTATTTAAATTGAAGACCTACATGAACTTTGAAATTTAACCTTGTAACTTGGATATTTATTTTCTCATTTTGAACTTGCTAGTCAGTTTTAGTAGCACAGTTCTTGTTCAGGTTTGAAGGGAAAATGAAATGTGTGAATAAATTTAAATGTTTTGGACCTTTTTCTTATCTTTCATAGGTGCCAAAATTATTCATCAAAGCACATGCTGCTGGATGATAATATAATAAAATAATATTGATGCTCAGCATCTTTGGATCAAATGGCTTTTCTGATTTTTCAGTATTACATCTTTAAATAACCAGTCTGTACGTTGGCCCAGAAGGGTCAACAACGTGTAAAAGCTATGACAGATGTAATGCTAATTTCTATTTACGTCTTTCAGCAGCTTAGCATAAAGTAGAAGTTATACCACCTTCCTTTTAATTATTTTAGTACAAAATGGAAGCTATGCTAGCTTCCGTTTTAACATTTTAGCATAAAATAGAAGTTATCCGAACTTCCATGTTAGCATTTTCACAATTTAGTATAAAATTTCAGCTACGCTAACTTCCATTTTAGCATTTTAGCAATTTAACATCAAATGGAAGCTGTACTAACTTCGATTATAGCATTACTTCGTTGGTTCTTTTTCATTTTGATGACTCTTATGTGGCACTGTAGATCAAAGCCAATCAGGGGAAAACTGATTGGCTTATCTCTGGCCATTGCAAAAAAGTATATATGCGCATTTACTTACCAGCTGTTTGAGCCGACTCATGCATTCCTTTAAATAGTGACAATAAATAGTTAATAAAGCTACAGGTGATGTGAAGTAATACTTCATCATCTCACGGCAGCTCTCCAACATCCAGTTAACCCCAGGTGGAAACAGAAGGCTCTCCTTCAGAACCTCAAAATATCAATAATAAAACAGGAGCAGCATCCTGAACATGGTTATTGATGAGTTCAGAGGAAAACAATTACAATACTACTGAAAACCAGCTAATTCTGATGAAGCATAGTGGGTATTTAAAGTTTCCATGGGGTACTTGTTCTGGAAAATGGACCATTTCAGATTGATTTAATTTTAGTTTATCTGGCATCTGCTTGTGGCCAATTTTATGAACATAACTCTATCAATGGCATATTTTCAGGTGTTTTGAGTTTTAAAATATGGATGAAGGAAAAATAGCTTTGAGAAAAAAAATAAAAAGGATTTCACAGAGTCCTGCCTTTCTGGTATTTTACTCACCACATAAAAACACATTCGTTCCTTTTGCCAGAGCCACAAATCAAAGAACAAATGGTTCCAGGCAGTTTCCCATAAAGGTTAATAATAGACAAAGAAACAAAGAAGGACCAAATGTATAAATTTAATACATAACTGAATGCATTTTAAGATTTAGTAAGGATAATAGGAACATAAAGTCTTTTTGGCATTGCGATAACATTGAGACAGCCATTCATGTTGACCGCCGTCATACTTTTTAAGGAAAACTGCAAAAAATCACGAGTAAAACCCCAGTGGACTTCCCACACCAGCGTGCTGTAATGACAAACTGAAAAAAATGGAAGTAACTAGTAATAAAAGAGGAAAAGAAAACGTTCCCCATCATTGACGTACAACAAATGCTGGGTGTTTATGTAAAGTTACAAGTACTAGTACAGGCAAAGGGGCAGTGACAAAGACGGACCCTCACCACAACAACGCGATGGGAGGGGGTGGTCCGAGACACAAAGCGGTGCAAAGAGAGAAGATGGGACAGGGAGAGCGGAGACGGCGTGTTTTCAGTCAGCAGACAGATCAGAGATGACTCACATCAGTCTGTGGCTCCCTTAGTGGCACCAGTACACAAGCCTATTTTTTCCCCTTATTTCTAGTGGAAAAAATCTTTTTTTCAAAAAGCACTAAGTTGACACAGGGTGCCTGGAAAAAAACAGAAACTTTATTAATAGTCTAACTGAAATTTTCAAACACCCCATTGCAATCAATTAGTTTTCTTTAGCATGAAATAGAAATAAACTACTTTTCTCTCTGTAAGTCATCCCTCCTATATAGATTTCCTGAGATTTCAGCAAAACATCAACACTGAGACTATTTAACGCAGCAGAAATAAAAAGCAGTTTCCTTAGAGGTATATTCAAAAAGAGTTGGAAACTAATAACAAAACAGAACATGGCACCGCTTTGTGCTTTCTGGGTCAAGTTGGCAGTTTAGATGCACTGTAAATAAATTGCTTCAGCGGTGCAGCCTGGGTGCCTGACCAAAGTACTCAGCAACAGCTGATTAGGCGCTCAACAATGCCGACATGGGGCAACGGAAAAAGTGATTAAAGTTGAGAAATAAAGTGGTTTGGTGTAGAGTGAAGATCTTAAACACAGTGGCATTTTGAACACTAAAAGAATAGGATTCGATTTATAAAGTTTGAGATCAAATGAAAAATGATAATTTATGCAGGACTGAGTAAAATATTTATTAGAAGCTTCTTGTTCTCAGAAGTATTGACAGCTGGTACACTTAATGCTTTTCATACACCAATACCAATATAAATTTAGCAATTATGTGAATGCTAATCACATGCCAAAGTACTTTTGAAATTTAAAGTTCCATTCAAATAATATAACATGTTTCCAGGTTTTCTGAGGTAAAGCAATGGGATTTGTTTTTCCTTTTTTGAATTCTCACAACAGCAATGCCAAAATATCTCACTGAGTTCAGCTAACAAAACCTGGTCAAATTGTAAAACAAGCAGAATAAAATAAAAAGACCGATATTAGCATTTTTTAGTGGACTATTAATGATAAGGTTTCTAAAAAAACCAAGATCTAAAATTTTAAAGTCAGGACTTATTATGGTAGCTAAAAGTAAAACATTAGACTGTTTCCTCAACTACTCCACCTTTGCATTTATAACAACAAAAAAAGCATGATTCTTCATTGATATCAGTCAAAAATGCAGTGTTGTCTGTGCTCTGCCAGCAGGTGCTGATAGTGTTGAC